TTCTTCATGTGAAGGATGTTGGATGGCATGTCCATTGAATTAGTCATTTTGATACCTATCTGCTCATCCTGGGGTACCTCTAGAAACAGAAATCACCTCTTTATGGATCATCATCTCAACATTCTGGAATAAGAAGAAAATGCCTCGATCCTTCCAGAATTTTTTTCATTGAATGTTAAAAATTGTCCATATTTTGCCAACCTAGTGCAATACAGAGATGAGGAAGATACATGCAACATCACTCTATTGCAAATGAAATTAGGTTCCTCGAAGCTGAAAACAAGACAATAGGTAAAGACAAATATCATCTTTGGCATTCTTGCTTTAAGATTCTGGGTAGAAAGGAGAGGAAATAACATGGTATTTTATGGCTCTAACTTAAGTAGTGTTTTCTTCTGAAACATAAGCAGTTGTTAATATATAGCCAACAAGTACTAATGGCTTAGCTATTTTTATCTTCTTATTTCCCTCACAGTGGTCTTTGTTTAGAAGCCAGTAGCCTCTTTCTTGTTGAGTACAGAAACAAATGCATATTTTTTTCTGCTCATACCTAATTTTCTTTGATCTTCCAAAGGTAAGTTACTTCTAAAACTGTGTGTGCACCATTCTCACAGGTATTTGGAAGTTTGACAAGAAAACTCATTTCAGGTCTGAACATAAACTGATAGTCTTAATAACTTCCCATGCAAGGTCAGGCTATTTTAAAGTCATCTTTTGCTTTCCTTGATATTTCATGGATGATGGCTGATACATTATAATAGTCTATTTTCCAGCAGGAATCTATTAAATTCAAATAACTATTTATTTGAGATGATTAATATTATGTAGTTCTTTATATTTGAAAAAAGTCATGTGATGATGACACAAAATCAAAAACAGATATAAAACTACATTTGACTTTGAATAATGCAAGAGTTAGAGGTGCTGACCCCCACACAGTTAAAATCCCCATATAACTTTTGACTCCCACCAAACTTGTTCCTTGGTATCCAAGGGGGTTTGGTTCCAGGACCCCTGAAAATACTACAGATGTTGAAGTTCCCTGTTTAAATGGTGTAGATCAGTGCATACAATCGGTTCTCCATATCCGCAAACCCCCAACAACAGATGGAAAACAGTACAAGTATTTATTGAAAAGAATCCCCATATAAGTAGACCAGTAGTTTAAACATACATTGTTCAAGGGTCAAACTGTACAGGGAGAAAGTTTCATTGATGGAAATAAATGTCTCTTTCATTATTTAAGGCATAATTTTCTGAGTAGCTCATTTATTGCAGTGTTATATTTGTATTGTTAATTTTTACTGTTTTCTATTTTCTTAAATATCAAAAATAATTCATTCTTTAGCAATTAATATTCTAGCATCTCCAATACATTAAAAGAAAATGTCATGTAATATGGACTGGTAAAACAATCTATATATACTCTAATCGAGCTAGAACTCATGGTAATATCTGGTCAAGATTTTTTTCAAGGAAACAGTTTGTACCAATAGACTATGATGATTCTCCTTAAACTAAAAAATGCCAAGATTCTTATGCAAATTCTCTTTTAAAACCATTAGTTGCATATTTGTATTAGGGAAGAGAATAAACCCTTGCTTGAATCACCTTTACTTTGAAATCCTGCTTGCTAGAGCTTTATGAAATGCATATCTTGATAGATTATAGAAAAAACATTTTTTATCTCCTTAATAAGGCAAAATAAATTGTTTGAGTGTTACCACAGGTCCAAAATTTCTACCCTAATACAGTAAAAGGTGCTAGAATCCTCCCTTCCCATGTTAGAATAGTTCTCATATACTAGTATTTCCCACAGGAACCTCTCTTTTGCCATCTGATCACTGAGTGTAAAGTTAGATTGTGAGCTAAAGACCATTGGAGGGTTGGATTCTTGGCCTCGGTTGGGGTGCATGCCAGAGCAACCAATTGGTGTGTCTCTCTCACATCCACATCTTTCTTCACTCCTTCTCCTCCCTCCTTTCCACTGTCTGAAAATCAATGGAAAAAATGTCCTTGAGTGAGGATTTAAAAGAAAAGAAAATAACAGTGGATATAATGCATTGAAACCTGGAAACTACTGATTTAAAAAATCAGCATTGGTTCAGTCATCTCTGGAGAATGACTAGAAATAAATATTCATTTATTTCTAGATGTATGGATAGCGTTGAAATGGAAAGAAGAATGAAACCTTATGAATTGTGAGAACACCTATGACTCAAACTTTCCTCTCCTTTGTGCTATCCCCAAATTCACCATAACTGTTTTAATTCAGAGAACCTATCATAACTAAATAAGTATATGCTTGGTTAAATGTAAAATTTCAAGTGATTTGCTAGTCATTATTTTCCTTTATGATGTCCATGATCATCATTATATCTCTATCTGATCTTAACTAAGTTTTGCAGTCTATGTAGAGATTGTTTTTTAAAGGCTTGGGTCTTGGGGTTTATTCACCTGGATAAAGTGTGTTAAATGCTCAATGTCAATGCATTAAAATATTTTGGGTTATGGTATTAATATAAAATAATCATGAAGAGAAGAAATCATAACAGAACACAAGTAGGAATTTATTTCTAAATGTTGAGAAAGGGAACCTGTAATTGCTCAATTTTAAAACCCAAATACAATAAATAAATGAGATCTTTAAAAATGTTATGCCATTGTTACATTTTCTAAATCATCCATTCCAGTTTTCTGGAAATACAGAGGATAAAGGTACAGGTTTAATGACACCATAAGATAAGTTCATAATGTAGGACACCCTTAAAGCAACTGGTCTGAACACTTTAAGAAATTAAATATCATAAAAGATGGGAGACTTTTCTAGAATAAACAGATATAACACCCAATACAATCATAAAATTTGGTTTAAAAATTTCTAAGACATTTCTTATAACAGGTAGTTAAGAAAGCAAGCACATTTGTTAAAAAACAAACAAACACAAATCTCAAGAGTGAATATGAATTCTTTTCAAGTTGAAGAAAATCAGGGAAGGATAATGGAAAGATAATGAGATTTAAAATGAGATTTTAATATAGTTTTATTGATTTCAGAGAGAAAGGAAAAGGGAGAGATAGAAACATCAATGATGAGAATCACTGATTGCCTGCCTCCTGCATGCCCCCTACCAGGGATATGCCCTTGACCAGAATCAAACCTGGGACCCTTTAGTTCCCAAGCTGACTATCCACTGAGCCAAACTGGCTAGGGCTGAGATTTTATAAGGACTGGATTTTAAAAATAAGGACTGGATAATTGTCATTAGAAAATTATTGTTAATTTTAAGTGTGATAGTGGCATTATGAATGTGTGGGATATGCTTGCGAGATGCCTGGTGAAGTAAAATATTTAGAGGTGAAGTGTCATGATGTCTTCAAGTTGCTTTCAAATGGGTCAGAAAACAGAGAGTAAAATAATGTGTAGAGTAAAATATATAGATTCAACAAATAAGATAAAATACAAATAACTTTTAAGTTTTCAATTAGGTAGAATTATCTTGGTATAGTTCTTTTTAACTTTTCCATACAGTATATTTGAAACATGTTTTCATACAAATAATTAATATACTTTATTTTTTAGAGCAGTTTTAGGTTTTACTAAAAATTAAGCAGATAATACAGAGTTCCCATATACCCACATTCTTCCACTCAGTTATTCTAGTATTACCATCTTGCATTAGTGTGGTACATTTATTATAACTGATGAATCCATATTGAGCCATTATTATTAACTAAAGTCTGTAGTTGGCATTAGGGTTCACTCTTTGTGTTGTACATTCTATGGGTTTTGACGAGTGTGTAATGCCATGTATCCATTATTACAGTGTCTCAGTGCCCCCAAGACCCCATGTTATACCTCTTATTCACTGCCCCCACCCCTTGCAACAACTAATCTTCTTAACATGCCTATACTTTTTCCAAAATATCAGGTACTTGCAATAATAGCATAGGTAGCCTTTTCAGACTGGCTTCTTTCACTAAACAATATACATTTATTTCCTCCATGGCTTTTTTTAAAATTGAGAATTCATTTCTTTTGATCACATATTTAAAAAACACACAAAAAGATCAATGGAAAAATTTTCAATATTTACTGGGTATTTGATATTATGAAATGATTAATGTTGCTAGATGCAATAATTGAAGTTATATAAATTAACACTCTTATCTGTTAGAAAGGAAATAAAAATATTGATACATTCCTAAGAAGAATCACCCAGCTATGTTAGGAAAATTTTATGTGGATGGAATGCACCAAATCTCAGGAAAATGTGAAGCGGGATGGAGTGCAGGAGAGAAACATGAGTAAAAAGAATATCTCAGTGTCCATGAGAATGTTCTTATGTGAATTCTGTGCTTTACCTGGGTCTCTGTACTTTTCTGTTGGCTTAAGCATGAGGATGGTAACCTAGCTAGCCCCTACTGAGATGTGCGCATGCTGGAGTTCTGAATAAAAACTGGAGACTGATTAGTCAAAGCCTTTTTTCATCCTAGGACTGAAATTACTCCCTTCCAGTTTCAGAAGTTCATTCCTACCCCAACCCCCAGTTTAAAAATAACTGCTTGAATCTCTGAGGAAACTAGGATGGAAAGTTGTCTATGTTTGGCATGTCGTTGTGGGCGCAATGAAAAAGCCTTTCGAAATGAGGTAAGACTTGGAAGACACCACTTGAAAGTATTCCGTTTAGATTGTCATCAGTGCGAAAGAAGGGAATGGGATTTTCTTAATGTTTTGGAGACAGTACATACTCGGAAAGGACGCGGGGTGGCGCTGCAGCATTAGAAGTAGAAGGAAGAAGGCTACCAGCCTGCCCTCCTTTAAGCCAGATGCTCTGCTAAAGAATCGAGCAGGAAGCGGAGGCTTTCTAGGGCTGTAGATCTGGGAAATTCGGGCCCTAGGCGTCTCCACTTATCCCAGTAGCTGGGACAAACTGGGAGTCAGCAACCTCGCGAGCCGAGCTGGAGCTGGGTCAGGTTTGCTGGGAGAGCGGAAGGAGATGGAGGCCAGAGAAGGAAAGGAACGCTTTCTGAAACAAAGGCAAGTCTTGATATTCTTTGTTTTGCTGGGCACAGCTCAGGCTGGTTCCGCGCCGAGGCGTTATTCGGTGGCCGAGGAAATGGAGAGTGGCTCCTTTGTGGCCAATTTGTTAGAAGACCTGGGATTGGAGGTAGATGAGCTGGCTGCGCGAGGGGCCCGCGTCGTTTCCAAAGGGAAAAAAATGCGTTTGCACTTGGATAGGCAGACCGGGGATTTGTTGTTAAATGAGCAGCTGGACCGGGAGGAGCTGTGCGGCCCTACCGAGCCCTGCGTGCTACCCTTCCAGGTGTTACTGGAAAACCCTTTGCAGTTTTTTCAGGCTGAGCTACGGATTAGGGATATAAATGATCATCCCCCGGTTTTCCTAGACAAAGAAATAATCTTGAAAATCCCAGAAAGTATCACTCCCGGGACTGCTTTCTTAATAGAATGTGCCCAGGATTTAGATGTGGGAAGCAACAGTCTCCAAAGTTACACAGTCAGCCCCAATTCCCACTTCCATCTGAAATTGCAAAACAGTTCCGAGGGCTTGATATCACCACAGCTGGTGCTGGACAAAGCGCTGGACCGGGAGGAACAGTCTGAGATCACGTTAACTCTAACGGCGCTGGATGGCGGGAAGCCACCCCGGTCTGGCACCGCCCTGGTCCGCATTGAAGTCTTGGACATCAATGATAATGCCCCGGAGTTTGCAAGGTTGCTCTATGAAGTTCAGGTTCTGGAAAACAGCCCCATTGGATCCCAGGTTGCTATGGTCTCGGCTAGAGATTTAGACATTGGGGCCAATGGAGAAATATCCTATGTCTTCTCCCAAGCTTCCAAAGATATTCGCAAGACTTTTCGAATAAATGCAAAATCGGGAGAACTTCTTTTAACACAGGAACTGGATTTTGAATCCATTCAGACTTATACATTAAATATTCAGGCGATAGATGGTGGGGGTCTTTCTGGAAGTTGTGTGGTGCTTGTCCACGTGATAGATTTGAATGACAACCCTCCGGAACTGACCATGTCAACGCTTATCAATGAAATCCCAGAAAACTTGCAGGAGACTGTCATTGCTGTTTTCAGTATTTCAGATCCTGACTCGGGAGACAATGGAAGGATGGTTTGCTCCATCCAAGATCACCTTCCGTTCTTCCTTAAACCCTCTGTTGAGAATTTTTACACTATAGTGACAAACACAGCCCTGGATCGAGAGATGACATCTGAGTACAACATCACAATCACCGTCACGGACATGGGCACCCCCAAGCTGAAAACCCAGCACAACATCACCCTACGGGTCTCCGACGTCAACGACAACGCCCCCGCCTTCACCCAGCCCTCCTACAGCCTGTCCCTCCGCGAGAACAACAGCCCCGCCCTGCACTTCGGCAGCGTCAGCGCCACAGACAGGGACGCGGGCGCCAACGCCCAGCTCACCTACTCGCTGCTGCCGCCCCGGGACCCGCGCCTGCCCCTGGCCTCGCTGGTGGCCATCAACGCCGACACCGGCCAGCTGTTCGCGCTGCGGGCGCTGGACTTCGAGGCGCTGCGGGCGTTCGAGTTCGGCGTGGGCGCCACGGACCGCGGGGCGCCCGCGCTGAGCAGCCAGGCGCTGGTGCGCGTGCAGGTGCTGGACGCCAACGACAACGCGCCCTCCGTGCTGTACCCGCCGCACAACGGCTCCGCGCCCTGCACCGAGCTGGTGCCCAGGGCGGCCGAGCCGGGCTACCTGGTGAGCAAGGTGGTGGCGGTGGACGCCGACTCGGGCCAGAACGCCTGGCTGTCGTTCCAGCTGCTCAGGGCCACGGAGCCCGGGCTGTTCGGCGTGTGGGCGCACAATGGCGAGGTGCGCACGGCGCGGCCGCTGGGCGAGCGCGACGCGGCCAGGCACAGGCTGGTGGTGCTGGTCAGGGACCATGGCGAGCCCGCGCTGTCCGCCAGCGTCACGCTGCACGTGCTGCTGGTGGACGGCTTCTCGCAGCCCTACCTGCCGCTGCCCGAGGCGGCGGCCGAGCAGGCGCGGGCGGATCCGCTGACGGTGTACCTGGTGGTGGCGCTGGCGGCGGTGTCGTCGCTGTTCCTGTTCTCGGTGCTGGCGTTGGTGGCGGTGCGGCTGTGCAGGCGGAGCAGGGCGGCCTGGGCGGGTGGCTGCTCGGTGCCTGAGGGCCACCTTGCTGGCCACCTGGTGGACGTGAGCGGTACTGGGACCCTGTCCCAGAGCTATCAGTATGAGGTGTGTCTGATGGGAGGCTCAGGGACCAGCGAGTTCAAGTTCCTCAAACCCATTCTTCCCAACTTCCTTGCGCCAGGTGAGGAGAGGGCTAATGAGGCAAACCCCAGTTTCAGGAATAGCTCTGAATTCAGTTAATCAGTAGGGGTCTACTGATTCTAGTCTCAGTTAATTTGTGAAAAATCCCTTTTTACTGCTCTGCCCATTGAGGTTGTTTCCTTTTATTTGAAATGTAAATATCGCATTTCAATTCAGTGCATGTTACTGGTGTTTCTAAATGTGTTGCTTTGTGGTATAATGAATGCTAATTTTCTTTGTATTCTCATTGGCAATTAGTCTCTCTGTACCTTAATTCCACTTAAAATGTGAAAGTAAATTTTGTTTATCCAAAAGTCTGAATTTTTAAGTTAAAGCATCTCTTTCTATACCCTCTTTTCCTAGGGCCTAAGTAATTTTGCAGTCGTACATTTTTTAATGTTTGCTATTCCTACAGGCTTTTTATTTTTTAATCCCAGAATATTTGTTTTCTATACTCTTAGGCTAAGAGTAAGTTTTATCTTGTGAAGTCACATTGGCTAAAGTCATTAATATAGGTAGATTCATGAAAAATAAAGTACTCTGTCACATTTTTTCTAAATATATACTATCACAAAGTGGCCATACATGGAAGTTGTGATTCTTTAGAGATATGAGACTGTTGTATTGCACAAACCATTCCCATTAAAAGTATTCGATATGCCCTAACTGGTTTGGCTCAGTGGATAGAGCATCGGCCTGGGGACACAAGGGTCCCAAGTTTGATTCTGGTCAAGAGCATGTACCTTGGTTGCGGGCACATCCCCAGTGGGGGGGGTGCAGGAAGCAGCTGATCTATGTTTCTCTCTCATCAATGTTTCTAACTCTCCCTCTCCCTTCCTTTCTGTAAAAAAAATCAATAAAATATGTTTTTTTAAAAGTAATCAGTAAATCAACCACTAATATTCCAAACTGTAGTGAAATGCATAGGACATGCCCAGTCATTTTCAAAGACATGCTATTCTTCAAGCTTTCGGTTTAAAAAAAAAAGTTTTGGGGAGATATAAAGAAGTAAAACTATATTTGCTGATGACCTGATTATGTATGTGGAAAACTCTACAATAATTCTCCAAAAAAAGTTACAGTTATGAGTACATTTAGCAAAGCTGCAGTTTACAAGGCCAGTACACAAAATTTAACTGAATTTATCAAATCTCTTGAATTTCAAATAGAAAGTTTTTAATAATTAAAACAGATTTTTAAAAGGTGGAATTGAAACAAGCAGAGATTACATTTTTTTAAAAAAAGATTTGAGAGAATGTGTATCTTTGTCCTTAACCAAATTTTAGAAACTTTGAATGTAGTTTAACATTGCATTTTTTTTCAAAATTTTCTGGAGCATTTCTGATTCAATTGGAATTAAGCTCATGGGAAAATATTTATCTTGGTCTGTCTGCTCATTCCCTTTTTTTTTTTTTCATGGACGACTACTTCTTTCCCCTTTCAATTTTCTACTTTTCAATGCCTTTTTCTTTTTAGGTGCTTGAATTATGTTTCTCAACTGCTCCCCATTTATTGCATGATTAACACAATGACTTGAAAATGATAGGTTCTTAATAAATGCTTGAATGACTGATTGAAAGAAAGAAGTGTTTTCTTTTTTTCACCTGTGATAGATATTGATATTTAAATACTTACAGGACAAACTTTTGCTGGAATTAAGTGCTCTCTGATGTATACTGAATTTATATAGAATATGTAGGTTATTAATTGAAGTGATCACTATTATTTGAACACTATGCAGTTATCAGTTCTTGCTATCTCTTTCCTTCAACATATTTTTCCTTTTCACTTCTTGCTTAATTTGACTCACCTCTTCTAGCCACAGCTTAAGGAATACAAATGGGGAAACGGTATTTTGTGTTTTATAATTTCAAAGTTGGATTCATCCAACTTTTTGTATTTCTTGAAGTTCAATTTTTGGCCTAGACATTAAAATAAAATTTTAATTTTTAATGTCAGTCTGCCTACCTTAAAATATTTATATCATTTGATGTTTGAGCTATACTGTTAAAATTATAAGATGAATGTGAAAGATCTTATTTTGAGATGATTAGTGGTGTGGAGCACTATCTTGCTATCCAAAGTTTCTGATGAACCAATTTATTAACTGAGGATCTTGGATAAGTCACATAATTTCTGTCCTCCCAAACTAATAATAACAGCTATGTCAATAGCTTGCAGTTATAATCAAATAAGATTATATATATATATATATATATATATTTGTTGTTATTTTATATATCACTAATATTAAGACTAAACTTAATAGATAAGCCTTTGGGTAATATTCCTGATAATTGTGAAGTAGCTAGATCCAGCACATGATATTTGTGTTGTTCATTTCCCTGCCTGAAACATTGCACTAGCTTCCTTTTATTCTTAGAATAAAATCCAAGCACCCATTATTTGGCCCCAGTCTACCTCTTCAGCCTTCTCTTCCCATTTATTTTTGGGACAGGAATTTTGGATACACTGATCTTCCTTCGTTGTCTAGAATAGCTATGCTTTACTGTCTTGGGGCCTTTACATGTCAGTTTTTCATATACAGAATCTTCCCATTTTGTAGCTGTACCCTGGTAAACTTCTCATCATTCATGTTCCATTAAAATGGCACATCTTTGGGAACTTTTTCTCAACCCTGCCCCCCATTAAAATTAGACCTCCCTACCCATACTCTCAAGTTCACTCAGTAAATTTCCTAGATAGCACTTTTCATACTGTTTGAACATCTGTTCAAAGTCTTCACCCCATTAAATGGAAGACTGTGTAAGGTATATGCCTGTCTTGTTACCACTACATGCCCAACTTCTACAAACTTAACAGGTATCTGTTTCCACAGATGGAACACGGTCTTACTGATGAAACCAATACTGGTAAAATCACTGTGAAATAAAAAGGAGAAAGCTCTGTATTCCCCGAGTGAATGTTAAAATATGGAAGGAATGAGGTATTTGTGGTCTCTGGCTATACCCACTGACATCAACTATTATAACTTTTTATGCATGAGTTCATCTTTTCATAACATTTTTTCTTACTATAAAAGCAACTCGTGCACATTTTACAAAAGTTGGGAAATAAAGAAAAACACAAATATGATAGTGAAGCACGTCATAATGTAGAGCAAAATCTTTCCAAATTTGTTTAATAATTACAGACAGGTGTGGTAGCCCTAGCAGGCGTCCACTTCCGCAAAATCATATCAATGAAGACTCTGCCAGGAAGAGTATCGTCTTTAAATAAGGGCGCATTTAATTTCTCTAGGTTGTGTGTTTGTTTGTTTTTAACTCAAGTAACACAGGAAACTCCTCCAGTAGCGTCAACTGGTTTTAGAAAGGGGAATAAGCAATTGAAAAGATCAAAACAACAGAAGTCCCCAAGCATCTTCTGCAAGAGTTAGAAACTGCGAGCGAACGCATGGTGGCGCTGTTGACTAAGAAGGAGAATTAAACCACAGGCACTGTGCGTACTCAGTACGTAACGCAACGTACCGATCCGGTACGGTACACCAGGAGTTGTGAGCTTGGACAGATGTAAAGCAAGCAAATCTGAGCCCTGGAAGGGATTATTTGCTAGATCTTCTCCAAAGGTTGGAGGCAAAAGACTTTGCATTTCCCAGCGCTGTCGGAGGCTCAGCTTGGCGATATTTCTTGGAAGAACATGGCAGAAAATGAATTGGAGGCCGGAGAGGAGCCATTTCTTAGACAAAGGCAAGTCCTGTTCCTCTTTGTTTTTCTTGGTGGTATTCTGGCTGGGTCTGAATCAAGACGCTACTCTGTGGCTGAGGAGAAAGAGAGGGGCTTTTTAATCACCAACCTAGCAAAGGATTTGGGGCTGAGTGTAGGGGAACTGGCCGTGAGGGGAGCCCAAATTGTGTCTAAAGGGAACAGAGAGCGCCTTCAGCTCAGCCATCAGACCGGTGATTTGCTCCTGCAGGAGAAATTGGACCGGGAGGAGCTATGCGGCCCCACAGAGCCATGTATACTGCATTTTCAGATTTTACTGCAAAACCCTCTGCAGTTTATTCCAAATGAGCTTCAGATCATAGATGTAAATGACCATTCTCCAGTATTCTTTGAAAATGAAATGCAGCTGAAAATCCCAGAAAGTACTCCACCGGGAACAATAATTCCACTGAGAAATGCTGAGGACTTGGATGTGGGGAGAAACAGCCTCCAAAACTACACCATCACTCCGAATGCCCATTTCCACGTTCTCACAAACAGGCGTAGGGATGGAAGGAAGTACCCAGAATTAGTGCTGGACAAAGCGCTGGACCGCGAGGAGCAGCCGCAGTTCAGTTTAACGCTCACAGCGCTGGATGGCGGATCGCCGCCCAGGACAGGCAACGTTCAGCTCCACATCCTGGTCTTAGACATAAATGACAACGCCCCAGAATTTACACAGCCCCTCTATGAGGTTGAAGTTCCAGAGAACAGCCCCGTTAACTCTGTTATTGTCACAGTCTCAGCTTCTGATTTAGATATAGGGACTTTTGGGACAATAGCGTACTCATTTGTTCATGCTTCTGAAGAAATTTCCACAACTTTTCAATTAAATCCAATTACTGGTGATATCCATTTAATCAAATATTTGAATTTCGAGGCAATTAATAGTTATGAGGTTGACATAGAAGCCACAGATGGTGGAGGCCTTACCGGAAAATCAACAGTAATAGTTCAGGTGGTTGATGTCAATGACAACCCACCAGAGCTGACCTTGTCGTCAATTACCAGCCCAATCCTAGAAAACTCACCAGAGACGGTGGTGGCCATTTTCAGTGTTTCTGATCCAGATTCTGGAGACAATGGGAGAATGATGTGTTCCATCCAGAACAATCTCCCCTTTGTCCTAAAACCATCCGTAGACAACTTTTATACCCTGGTGTCCGAAGGAGCCCTGGACAGAGAGAGCCAGGCCGAGTACAACATCACTATCACCGTCACCGACTTGGGGACCCCCAGGCTGAAAACCCAGCACAATATAACCGTGGTGGTCTCCGACGTCAACGACAACGCCCCCGCCTTCACCCAGCCCTCCTACAGCCTGTTCCTCCGTGAGAACAACAACCCCGCCCTGCACTTCGGCAGCGTCAGCGCCACAGACAGGGACGCGGGCGCCAACTCCCAGCTCACCTACTCGCTGCTGCCGCCCCGGGACCCGCGCCTGCCCCTGGCCTCGCTGGTGGCCATCAACGCCGACACCGGCCAGCTGTTCGCGCTGCGGGCGCTGGACTTCGAGGCGCTGCGTGCGTTCGAGTTCGGCGTGGGCGCCACGGACCGCGGGGCGCCCGCGCTGAGCAGCCAGGCGCTGGTGCGCGTGCAGGTGCTGGACGCCAACGACAACGCGCCCTCCGTGCTGTACCCGCCGCACAACGGCTCCGCGCCCTGCACCGAGCTGGTGCCCAGGGCGGCCGAGCCGGGCTACCTGGTGAGCAAGGTGGTGGCGGTGGACGCCGACTCGGGCCAGAACGCCTGGCTGTCGTTCCAGCTGCTCAGGGCCACGGAGCCCGGGCTGTTCGGCGTGTGGGCGCACAATGGCGAGGTGCGCACGGCGCGGCCGCTGGGCGAGCGCGACGCGGCCAGGCACAGGCTGGTGGTGCTGGTCAGGGACCATGGCGAGCCCGCGCTGTCCGCCAGCGTCACGCTGCACGTGCTGCTGGTGGACGGCTTCTCGCAGCCCTACCTGCCGCTGCCCGAGGCGGCGGCCGAGCAGGCGCGGGCGGATCCGCTGACCGTGTACCTGGTGGTGGCGCTGGCGGCGGTGTCGTCGCTGTTCCTGTTCTCGGTGCTGGCGTTGGTGGCGGTGCGGCTGTGCAGGCGGAGCAGGGCGGCCTGGGCGGGTGGCTGCTCGGTGCCTGAGGGCCACCTTCCTGGCCACCTGGTGGACGTGAGCGGTACTGGGACCCTGTCCCAGAGTTACCAGTATGAGGTGTGTCTGATGGGAGGCTCAGGGACCAGCGAGTTCAAGTTCCTCAAACCCATTCTTCCCAATAGTTTGGTTCAAGACATTGAGCAAGAGTAGTGCAAAACTGTAATTTTCAGGAATACTGGTAGCTTAGGTTTCATTAATAGAAGAATAAAAAGTTATTTGACTATCAATACTTTCAAAATCAAGAATCTTTAGTTGAAAAAAAGAAACTTTAGTTTACAATCATTTTGTTTATATATTGATTTTAGTTTCTATCACGTTAGTTAATCCTTGCATATTTTTATCTGTTTTCTTTCTTAACAATGTTGTCTTAATGCCTCCTTTTCTTTTACTAATAGGCAAGTTAAAATAAATTCATTATCTTTTAATGTTGACTTCAAATAGGTTTAAGTAACTCATTTCAAATTTTATATTCATAGCAAGTGATAATGTTCCTTATAATATTCCTAAAGCAGCTTTTCTATGGTTCATGAAGTTTGTGGATAGATAAGAATGTGTTTTCTTTCAGATGTTCCATCTTTAAGGCACAGCATGTTTTTCAGGCTATAGTACCTAAAAGAAAGTGATACATTGAATTCATTTTGTTTTTACATTTGCAATTAATATTTCAATGTTGTATATGCTTATATTGACTCAGTGGGCAAAATATAGGCTAATAGGCAAATTACTCTTAGGTTTGCCTAAAGTGTATTCACGAGCTTGGAAAAATTAAACATAAGGCATTTTGAACAACTGATTGTGCTTTTCCATTTGATATGAAAACATTGTTTAGGAAGGCATCTTGTGGGGTGACAATTTGGTTAGTAAATTTTAAGATATAAATGTTACTGACCTTGGGGTCCTTTTAAAAATGTCCAGATAGTCCTTGTATTCATGATCTACAAATAGTAAGATTGGTGTCCCATTCAACCCTACTTTTTTATTTTTTATTTTTTAAATATATTTTATTGATTTTTTTTACAGAGAGGGATAGAGAGTTAGAAACATCGATGAGAGAGACCCATCGGTCAGTCACCTCCTGCACACCCCCTACTAGGGATGTGCCCGCAACCAAGGTACGTGCCCTTGATGGGAATCAAACCTGGGACCCAACAGTCCGCAGGCCGAGGCTCTATCCACTGAGCCAAACCATTTTCAGCCTGTATATTTAATACTCTTAATCTTTGCCAACAGTTAGGTTGATCAAGAATTTTTAAAATAATTTTCCTTATCTTCTTTTGGTATTTAACACCATAGATGAAGAAAAGTGATATCAATCTAGTTCTTATTCTTTACCTGTAAAATTATTAACACTCTTTTATATTTTTTAATTTATTCTTGATATTCTGAGACTTGCTAAGTCCTGACTTGAGATTTACTCAATATATTGAATTTTCTTTTGTTTAAGTAACTGTAGTTTTCTTTTTCACAATTTCCATTTTGCAAGTTTTCATAGCAATATGCCTTTTCCCCCACAATTACTATTACTTTTTTGTTTGAAGAAATTAAATCTTTTACTTTTAACTTTTTTCTATATTGTTCTGAATTTCTATATTTTATTTACACACACGTTTATCTGTTGAGTCAATTTTTCAGCTGTTAGTCTTCCTCATATGCTTGCTGATATTTTGTTGAGAATTCATCTCCTATTGGAAGTTTCACTCAGACCTGATTTTGGTAGTCTTGTGGAAGGGAAGAAGAGCCCCCGACTTTATAAGAAACTAGCTTCACTTTGCCACACACAGGTAGAAGTCCTGGATGAACACCTGTTGATGTGTTTGAGCTGGATCCCAGTTTCCCTTGGGTGACTCACTCTGCATTTGCTCTGTGAGGCAAAAATCTCAGGGAATGTCATCCTCTGGTTGTTATGTGGCTGTTAAGGTTGTAGACATGGGAGCTAATGGAAAAATATTTTATTTTTCAAGCTTCAGAGTAAACAAGCTGATTTTAATAATAAAGAAGCTCATTTTGAGGAAAACTGATTTGAAACTATAGTGATACATTGGGGTTACCTACAGGAAAAAATATTATCTTGATTAAGAGGCATGACAGTGCTGCACATGGTGGTTCTGTATGACACACAACATGTTGCATGACAAAACAAAAAACCTCTGCAAAGCAATCCTATGTTGTGCACTGAGTTGGTGCCAGTAGAACAAGATGCTAACCTGGATGGTGACTTGAGTTAGAACTCATGAGTTTTTTTTTTTTATCAATGATTCAAGGTCTCAGAGAGTACTTGATATTTAGCATGCATATCTAGGCTCCTATGTAAGCCACCTTTATTTGGTATGGTAATTCTACACCTGGTCTAAGACCTATTTCAGCCCTACCTGCCATTCATTGAGTCACCCACAGTTCTACTCAAGCCTACAGACTCTCTTGTTCACTGGCTTGACTCAGCTGTTCCCTGATACTCAGATGTGGAGGATGAATAGGGAACCTTCAATGAACTGCTGCATACAGACCATTTTCTAAGCATTTTGAGGATATCAACATCACTGGGACTTAGTCCCAGATCTATTATTGTGAGAGTTTTCTGACTGGGATATCAGAGACAAAAGGGTTCAGCTTTCTGAAGTCATTGCCTCCAACTTATATGGGCTATGCACAAGGAGAAACTTTCATGAGAAACAACTTATAGAAAAAGTTGGGGTTTATAAAAAATGGATTTTTTCACTCTGAATGTCTCATCCTATTCAACAAGATTTAATCAGCAATCAAAAAACTTTCTACAAATAAAAGTCCAGGACTAGATGGCTTCACTGGTGAATTCTACCAACTGTTTAAAGAATTAATATCAATCCTTCACATCTTATTTAAGAAAAGGAGCAGAGCCGGGACCGGTTTGGCTCAATGGATAGAGCATCGGCTTGGGGACTGAAGGGTCCCGAGTTCGATTCCGGTCAAGGGCATGTACCTTGGTTGCGGGCATATCCCCAGCAGGGGGTGTGCAAGAGGCAGCTGATCGATGACTCTCTCTCATCGATGTTTCTAACTTTCTATCTCTCTCCCTTCCTCTCTGTATAAAATCAATAAAATATATTTAAAAAACAAAAAACAAAAAAAAAAAAAAGAAAGAAAAGGAGCAGAGACCAGTTCTCAATTCTTGCAATGAAGCTAGTATTACCCTGATGCCCAAATCAGACAAAGATAACACAAGAAAAGAAAACTAAATATATCCTTTATGGATATAGAGGCGAAAATCCTCAACAAAATATTAGCTAACTGACTTTAGCAACATACAAAAGGGTTATACACCCTGACCAAGTGGGAGTTGTCCAAAAAAAACAAGGTTGGTTTAACATATGAAAGTCAATCAATGAAACACACCATATTAATAAGAAAGGACAAAACCATACAACTACAACTGTCTCAATAAATGGAGAAAATTATTTTACAAAATCTAATACTTTTTCATGTTAAACAAATAGGAATTATAATATATGTACTCAACCTGATATAGGGTAACTATAAAAACCCACAGCTAACTTCATATTCAATGGTGAAAGACTGAAAACTTTCCCTCTAAGATCAGGAAAAAAACATGGATATTCCATCTCACTGTTTCCATTTAACATTGTACTAGAAGTTCTAGCTAGGGCAATTTGACAAGAAAAAGAAATAAAATAATTCAGATTGGAAATGAAGAAGTAAATTGTATTTGCAGATGACACAATAGTACATAAAGAAAATTCAAAGGAATCCACAAATACCACTAAAATGGATAAATGATTTTAGCCAGGTTGGAGAAGATCAATAAACAAAAATCAATTAGTATTTCTATACACTAGCATTAGACAACCCCAAAAAGAAAAAAAAAAAAACTCCAATTCCCTTTATGATTGCATGAAAATAATTAAAAACTTATGAATAAATTGAACAAAATCAAGATTTGTACACTAAATGCTACAAAACACTAATGAAAGGAATTAAAGAAGACCTTTCACTTCCTCTCCAGTTCTAAGAATCTAATACTACTTGACTTCCACCTAAATGTAACGTGAGTTCAAACTGTGAAAGGACTTATAACAAAGCAAGATGCTTCCTCTTCCCACTGTATTTCTATTTGCATACCAGAGCAGGATAGAAGCTTTCCTTTGAAAAACAGTCTCCAGAGACCATGTGATACAGGGCACCTTAACAAAGTTCTACATCATCATAAATTTCTCAAAACTTGAAAACAAACAGATATACTTTCCAATAATTGTAATTTTATAAGAGTTTACTCTCCTTGTTATATTATGCAAGAGGGAAATTGAGTTCTTTGAAGTACCACTGATGAGGCTGTGTGGAGCCTGAAATACACTCTTGTTTTGGACTCACAATTATTCTATGCAGTATAATGGCATAACCTGATAAATTATGCAATTTGATGGCATAGCAACTTGGTAAAAGCTCTGTGCATTTCAAAAATGGATTCCTTTTGGATACTTCCAAAATATACTTGGACTTGAGAATATTTTCTCAATCAAGACGCAGGGTGGCGCTGCAGGCTAAGATAATGAATAAGCTTGCGTATTCCTTTGTTCCAAGACGGAATCAAATTCACACGGAAGAAGCTTTGCTAGCGGTACTGGGTTACCAGCGAGTTTGGGGAAAGATATTCGAAACGAATTTAATATTCAAAGCAACTTTGTGAGGACTCCACCACGCAAGAAATCTCAAGTCTTTTTTGTTGCTGAAGGGACTGGCTGTAAGCGCCCGGGTTCCAACATGGAGACGCTAGAGAGAATTCAACCACACAGGCAAGTGATGGCCTTTATTTTGGTAGTGTTCTTGTCCCAGGCTCGCTCGGAGCCCATTCGTTATTCTGTGCTGGAAGAAACAGAGAGCGGCTCCTTTGTAGCCCATCTGAGCGAGGACCTGGGCCTGGGAACTGGGGAGTTGGCTGCCAGGTCCGCCCGGGTGGTGTCTGACAATGACAAGCAGTGCTTGCTGCTGGATCATCAGACAGGAGATTTGCTTTTGAAGGAGAAACTAGACCGGGAAGAGCTATGTGGCCCCATTGAACCGTGTGTATTGCATTTCCAGCTGCTGCTGGATACGCCGGTGCAATTTTTTGAAGGAGAATTATCAGTCCAGGACATAAATGACCACTCCCCAGTATTCCCGACTAGGGAAATGCTCTTGAAAATACCGGAAAACAGCCAGCCAGGGACTACTTTTCCCTTGAAATTAGCTCAAGATTTGGATGTGGGCAGCAATGGTCTTCAAAAGTACACGATCAGCCCCAATGCATATTTTCATGTTCTTATTCGAAATCATAGTGAGGGTAAGAAATACCCAGATTTGGTGCAGGACAAGGCGCTGGATCGAGAGGAGCAGCCCGAGTTCAGCTTAACCCTCATGGCGCTGGATGGCGGGTCTCCACCTCGGTCTGGCAGCGTCACCGTGAGAATCCTGGCCATGGATGTTAATGATAATGCTCCTGAGTTTGTGCGCACCCCGTATCAGGTGCAGGTCCTGGAAAACAGTCCCTTAGATTCTCCGATCATTACTGTCTTAGCCAAGGATAAAGATGCTGGAAACTTCGGGAGAGTTTCCTATGGCTTGTTCCAAGCATCAGATGATATTAAGCAAACTTTCTCAATAAATGAAGTCACAGGAGAAATCCGACTGACAAAGAAATTGGATTTTGAACAAATTAAATCTTACCAAGTGGACATTGAAGCTACGGATGGAGGGGGCCTTTCTGGAAAAGGCACTGTGGTCATAGAGGTGGTGGACGTGAACGACAACGCCCCTGAACTGTTCATATCCTCACTCCTCAGCTCCATCCCAGAAAACGCTCCTGAGACCATAGTCTCCATCTTCCGCATTCGAGACAGGGATTCTGGAGACAACGGAAAGATGATTTGCTCTATTCCAGATAATCTGCCATTCCTTCTAAAACCGACTTTCAAGAATTTCTATACCCTGGTCACTGAGAGTCCCTTGGACAGAGAAAGCAGAGCCCAGTACAACATCACCATCACCGTCACCGACATGGGGACCCCCAGGCTGAAAACCCAGCACAACATCACCCTGCTGGTCTCCGACGTCAACGACAACGCCCCCGCCTTCACCCAGCCCTCCTACAGCCTGTCCCTCCGCGAGAACAACAGCCCCGCCCTGCACTTCGGCAGCGTCAGCGCCACAGACAGGGACGCGGGCGCCAACGCCCAGCTCACCTACTCGCTGCTGCCGCCCCGGGACCCGCGCCTGCCCCTGGCCTCGCTGGTGGCCATCAACGCCGACACCGGCCAGCTGTTCGCGCTGCGGGCGCTGGACTTCGAGGCGCTGCGTGCGTTCGAGTTCGGCGTGGGCGCCACGGACCGCGGGGCGCCCGCGCTGAGCAGCCAGGCGCTGGTGCGCGTGCAGGTGCTGGACGCCAACGACAACGCGCCCTCCGTGCTGTACCCGCCGCACAACGGCTCCGCGCCCTGCACCGAGCTGGTGCCCAGGGCGGCCGAGCCGGGCTACCTGGTGAGCAAGGTGGTGGCGGTGGACGCTGACTCGGGCCAGAACGCCTGGCTGTCGTTCCAGCTGCTCAGGGCCACGGAGCCCGGGCTGTTCGGCGTGTGGGCGCACAATGGCGAGGTGCGCACGGCGCGGCCGCTGGGCGAGCGCGACGCGGCCAGGCACAGGCTGGTGGTGCTGGTCAGGGACCATGGCGAGCCCGCGCTGTCCGCCAGCGTCACGCTGCACGTGCTGCTGGTGGACGGCTTCTCGCAGCCCTACCTGCCGCTGCCCGAGGCGGCGGCCGAGCAGGCGCGGGCGGATCCGCTGACCGTGTACCTGGTGGTGGCGCTGGCGGCGGTGTCGTCGCTGTTCCTGTTCTCGGTGCTGGCGTTGGTGGCGGTGCGGCTGTGCAGGCGGAGCAGGGCGGCCTGGGCGGGTGGCTGCTCTGTGCCTGAGGGCCACCTTCCTGGCCACCTGGTGGACGTGAGCGGTACTGGGACCCTGTCCCAGAGCTACCAGTATGAGGTGTGTCTGCCGGGAGATCCTGGGACTGGTGAGTTCAAGTTCCTGAAACCAATAATCCCTAGCCTCTTGGTTCAGGACCCTGAGAAAGAACAAAAAGAAAATCCCGATTTCCGAAATAGTTTTGTATTCAGTTAAGTGTTGTAATTAATTAGTTGAATTTCTCCTTCATTTTGGCCAACCTAACTTCCACTACAATGCATTTCTTTTAAGGAATTGTATTTTCTCTAAATATGTATATCTCTATTTCAAACCAGTGCATGCCCCTGAAACAATGGGAAATGAATCCTCTTTCTTTCTTTCTTTCTTTCTTTCTTTCTTTCTTTCTTTCTTTTTTTAAAATATTTATTGGACTTTGCATTTCTACTTACACTAAACATTGAATACGTATTTTCTCCATATTTGACCTTTTCTGTGATTACCCTTTTCATAACTATAAATTACTCAAGTAGTATAAGAAGACATTTTGTTTAAATCAACTTCTTACTTAGTTAATGTCTTTTTAATGAAACATTTTACAGCGTTTATGCAATCTTGCATTTCTATATATTCGTGGCTCTTGTCCTTACCATATACTTTTATCTTTGTGAGACCAGAGTGTAATTTACCTAGACCTTTCTTGTTGACTATTTTACCAGGCTATGCCCCCTGAATAACCATGAGCATATAACTTTGCATACTTATTTCTCCCAAATTGTACATAAAAATGCAATTTATTAAAATATTAACACTCTAAAACTGTGATTTCCCATTGTGAGAATCATATATGCTAGAGTTTTTCTTACTTTATTTGATTGCTACTTGCCTTGCTCATTGTATGTCAGTTCTCCCTAATCAATCAATAGATGTAATAAATCCTAAACAATATTTCAGCAGATTTCTTTGTGAAAATTGACAAACTGAATCTAAAGTCTATATGGAAATACAAAGAGACAATAATAACCAAAGCAGTCTTAAAGAAAAATAATAAAACTGGAGGACTTACCCATCAGATAATAAACCTATTATAAAGCTACATTAAGACAATATTGGCCGAAGCCGATTTGGCTCAGTGGTAGAGCGTCAGTCTGCGGACTGAAAGGTCCCAGGTTCGATTCCGGTCAAGGGCATGTACAGTGGTTGCCAGGGGGTGTGCAAGAGGCAGCAGGTTGATGTTTCTCTCTCATCGATGTTTCTAGCTCTCTATCCCTCTCCCTTCCTCTCTGTAAAAAATCAATAAAATATATTTTAAAAAAAGACAATATTGTATTACAGGATAAACAAAGAGAAACATTGAAAAAAATTGTTAAATAGTCCTAAGGTTACAGATTTATTATAAAGTGACACCAGAAACAATGGGAAATGAATCTTCTTTTCAATAGATGGTAGAAAGTCACTTGAATGTTTATATGAAAAAATAATTTTACCCTAACTTCCTTCATATTAAAAAAATTAACTTCAAAGTATTATAGCTCGAAATGTGAAAAATAATGTAATTAATTATTCAAAAACATCATACAAGGATATTTTTATGATTTGAGGGTATGCAAAGACTTAAAGAAAAAACAAATAGTCCTAACCATAACCATTGAGAAATATTGACAGTTTAGACTAAATTAAAATTTAGGAAGTTTGGTTCATCAAAGATACCTTAAGAGAGTTCAAATCCAAGCCATAGAGTGAGAGAAGATATTTTCAACACATATTTCTGGAAAAGTACTTTTACCTAGAATATATTAAGAACTTCTAATCATAAATTCGAAAAAAGGCAAATACCCTAATAGAGAAATAGACAAAAGATTTTCAATCACTTGGGGTACACAAGAATGTACCCTAATGGCCAATAAACAGGTGGAAATATACTCAATTTGATTAATCATCATAGAAATACTAAAGTTATAATAAGATATCATCACACACTGACCAGAGTGGTTAATATTAAAAGACAATATCAAATGTTGATAATAATATGGAGCTACTGGAAAAAATATATTTAATTGATATTTTACAAAGAGGAAGTTAGAGGGATAGAGAGTCAGAAACATCGATGAGAGAGAAACATAGATCAGCTGCCTCCTTCACACCCTCCTTCACTGCCAGCAATCAAGGTACTTGCCCTTGACTGGAATTGAACCTGGGGCCCTTCAGTCTGCAGACCGACGCTCTATCCATTGAGCCAAACCAGTCAGGACAGAACTCTCACTTTTTGCTGGTTTGGATAAAACAGCATTTGAAAACTGTTTTTGCAATATCTGCTAAAGCTAAATATATGTGTACATTGTAATGCACAGAATTTAACTCATAGGAATGTATTAAACATAAATGCACATATAGACATCAAAAGATGTGTATAAGAATGTTTATAGCAACAATATTTAAAATATCCCCAAACTAGACAACTCCCATCTCCAACAACTGAAGCATGAATAAACAAATCAAGGTATAGCCATACAATAGAATGCTATAAGACAATGAGAATAAAATAAAACAATATATATACAACAGATAAATTTTACAAACATAATGTTGAGTGAAAAAAAAAAACACAAAAAAGCAAATTCTCTGTAACTCCATTTGTATAAATGTTCCAAAAATGTAAGTTAGGAGAGTGCTTACCTTTGCGGGGAAGAGGTAGTGGCCAGACAAGGACAGAAGGAGGCTTGCAGAGTCTGATAACATTTTAGTTTCAATTTGGTTCTGCTTATAGGAGTGCCTTTACTTCGTGAAGGTTCTTTGAATTGTACACTTATGATTTGTACCCTTTTTTGATGTATGTTATATTTGAAGATAAAAGTAATTTTTGTAGGCTCTGGCCAGGTAGCTCAGTTACAACATCCTATCCATATACCAAGGTTGTGGGTTCCATCTCCTATCAGGGCACATACAAGACGCAGCCAATGAATGCATAGATAAGTAGGACAACAAATCTGTTTCTCTCTCTCATCCCCCCTCTATAAAGTAAATAAAATTTAAAAATAATTTTGTAAAATTGTAAACTTTTGTAAACATGCATTCACTTACTTCTTAAATATAATAAAACCAAAAACTCTTTAAAAAGTTTTGTCACGTATTCAAAAGGTACTTCATGAAGAAAGTTCATTTTATTTTTTTTATTTTCGTATCATTTTACTTTATTCTGAAAAGTATTCTTGCACTTAAAGTCAATGTAGCAAATGTTTATTTAGAGCTTCCAATAATTAAGAACTGGAGATATAATCTAGAGCATTTCTGTGACTTAAAAAAGATACTGATAGTTACAAATTGGAATGATATACCAAATACTATTTGCAATAGTAAGTAAGGACGCCTGGTGGCGCTGCAGGCTAAGAGTTCGAATGAAGAGCTCTGTGGACCCCGGACGCCATTAAACTGGGAAATCAGAACGTTGATTGCTTCCTGGAAAGAAGGCAGCATTTCAGTTAAGATCTAGGGGCAGAGATCTTCAGAGAGGGCATCGTGCTAGTGCGACTCAGCCAGAAAGGTCTAATCCGAGGTTATTTAACGAAGCCTTCTGGATTGATTGTACCGCGTTGAAGAAACTGCACCTTCTTGAACTGGGTCTGAACAATGGAGACCGCGCTAGCAAAAACGCCACAGAAAAGGCAAGTTGTCTTTCTTGTTATATTGTTGTTTTTGTGGGAGGCTGGCTCGGAAGCAATTAGGTACTCGGTGCCAGAAGAGATGGAAAGTGGCTCCTTTGTGGCCAACCTGGCTAAGGACCTGGGGCTCAGGGTGGGGGAACTGGCCACGCGGGGCGCGCGAATCCATTACAAAGGAAACAGACAGCCCTTGCAGCTCGATATAAAGACAGGGGATTTGCTTCTATATGAAAAACTAGACCGGGAGGTGCTGTGCGGGACTATAGATCCCTGTATTCTGCAATTCCAACTGTTACTGGAAAAGCCGGTGCAGTTTTTTCAAGCTGATCTGCAGCTCACGGATATAAATGACCATTCCCCAGAGTTCCCAGACAGGGAAATGCTCCTAAAAATCCCAGAGAGCGTCCAGCCAGGGACTGTGTTTCCTTTGAAAACGGCTCAGGACTTTGACATAGGTAGCAACACTGTTCAGAACTACTCAATCAGCCCCAACCCCCATTTTCATATTGTCACTCATAATTTCGGAGATGGTAGAAAATACCCCGAGCTGGTGCTAGACAAAGCGCTGGATCGGGAGGAGCAGCCTGAGCTCAGTTTAACACTCACAGCGCTAGATGGTGGGGCTCCGCCCAGATCAGGGACCACTGCCCTCCACATCAAAGTCCTGGACATCAATGACAACCCCCCTGAATTTCTACAGCCTCTTTATGAGGCACAGGTCCCAGAAAACAGCGCCCTAAACTCCTTAATTGTCACTGTCGCCGCTAAAGATTCAGATGCCGGAACGTATGGGAAAGTAGTTTACACTCTGTTCCAAGGCGATGAAGTTACTCAGCCATTTGTAATAGATGAAACAACAGGAGAAATTCGTCTGAAAAGGACATTGGATTTCGAGGCAATTCAATATTATAACATGCAAATTGCAGCCACAGACGGTGGAGGTCTTTCAGGGAAATGCTCTGTAGCTATCCAGGTGCTGGATGTGAATGACAACCCTCCTGAGCTAACCCTGTCCAAAGTGGCCAGCTCGATCCCAGAAAACTCCCCAGAGACTGTAGTTGCGGTTTTCAGTGTTTCTGATCCAGATTCCGGGGACAATGGCAGGATGGTTTGCTCCATCCAGGACGATATTCCGTTTCTCTTGAAACCCACATTCAAGAACTTTTACACCCTAGTGACAGAGAGGCCACTGGACAGGGAGAGCAGAGCTCAGTATAACGTCACCATCACCGTCACCGACATGGGCACCCCCAGGCTGAAAACCCAGCACAATATCACCCTGCTGGTCTCTGACGTCAACGACAACGCCCCCGCCTTCACCCAGCCCTCCTACAGCCTGTCCCTCCGCGAGAACAACAGCCCCGCCCTGCACTTCGGCAGCGTCAGCGCCACAGACAGGGACGCGGGAGCCAACGCCCAGCTCACCTACTCGCTGCTGCCGCCCCGGGACCCGCGCCTGCCCCTGGCCTCGCTGGTGGCCATCAACGCGGACACCGGCCAGCTGTTCGCGCTGCGGGCGCTGGACTTCGAGGCGCTGCGTGCGTTCGAGTTCGGCGTGGGCGCCACGGACCGCGGGGCGCCCGCGCTGAGCAGCCAGGCGCTGGTGCGCGTGCAGGTGCTGGACGCCAACGACAACGCGCCCTCCGTGCTGTACCCGCCGCACAACGGCTCCGCGCCCTGCACCGAGCTGGTGCCCAGGGCGGCCGAGCCGGGCTACCTGGTGAGCAAGGTGGTGGCGGTGGACGCCGACTCGGGCCAGAACGCCTGGCTGTCGTTCCAGCTGCTCAGGGCCACGGAGCCCGGGCTGTTCGGCGTGTGGGCGCACAATGGCGAGGTGCGCACGGCGCGGCCGCTGGGCGAGCGCGACGCGGCCAGGCACAGGCTGGTGGTGCTGGTCAGGGACCATGGCGAGCCCGCGCTGTCCGCCAGCGTCACGCTGCACGTGCTGCTGGTGGACGGCTTCTCGCAGCCCTACCTGCCGCTGCCCGAGGCGGCGGCCGAGCAGGCGCGGGCGGATCCGCTGACCGTGTACCTGGTGGTGGCGCTGGCGGCGGTGTCGTCGCTGTTCCTGTTCTCGGTGCTGGCGTTGGTGGCGGTGCGGCTGTGCAGGCGGAGCAGGGCGGCCTGGGCGGGTGGCTGCTCGGTGCCTGAGGGCCACCTTCCTGGCCACCTGGTGGACGTGAGCGGTACTGGGACCCTGTCCCAGAGCTACCAGTATGAGGTGTGTCTGATGGGAGGCTCAGGGGCCAGCGAGTTCAAGTTCCTCAAACCCATTCTTCCCAACTTCCTTGCGCCTGGTGAGGAAAGGGCTAATGAGGCACACCCCAGTTTCAGGAACAGCTCTGAATTCAGTTAAGAATCAGTAGGGGTCTACTGACTGTAGTCTCAGTTAATTTGAGAAAAATCCCTTTTTACTGCTTTGCCCATTGAGGTCGTTTCCTTTTATTTGAAATGTAAATATGGCATTTCTATTCAGTGCATGTTACTGGTGTTTCTAAATCTGTTGCTTTGTGGTATAATGAATGCTAATTTTGGCTCCGAATCAAATGAGTTCAAATTCTTGAAGCCAATTATCCCCAACCTTCCGACCCTATCTCACTTAACCCTCAAAATATTGGTACAATTGATAGCCTCATTTTAGAGATGGACAAACCAGGACATAAAAAGTTAAAGTAGCCCTAACCAGTTTGGGCCTTCAGATTGAAGGGTCCCAGGTCAAGGGCATGTACCCTGGTTGTGGACACATGCAGGAGGCAACTGATCAATGTTTCTCTCTCATTGATGATGTTTCTAATTCTCTATCCCTCTCCCTTTGTTCCTGTAAAATAAAAAAAGTCAATAAAATATTTTTTAAAAAGAGTTAAAGTAAACTGCCCAGATTACTTTAATAAGTGGTAGAATCGGGATTTTAAACCAGGCATCCTTCCTGACTCCAGATACATTGCTTTTTTTGTTTTTGCTTTCTCTAGTTTTAAAACTATTAAACATTCAAAAAGTGTACAGAGTGTATATGTGAGATTTAAAATAAAAATAATACAATGTTCACCCATGTACTTATCACCCATTTTAAGAATGAGAACAGTGCAAAGTCATTGAAAATCCCTGTGTGCTTCCATCATTAAATCTTTTATCCTCATGAAAATAAACACTTTTCCTGAATCTTTAATTATTTGTTATTTTTTACAGTAGTGAATATGCATATATCCTTAAGTGACATATTGTTTAGCTTTGTCTGTTTTTGCAATTTATACAAGTAGATTAATGTAGTATGGGTCATCTATGGGCTTACTTATTTTTATCACTAGGTTTGAATTCATCCATGTTAATGTAGTTTATTCATTAGAGTGCTCTCTAGTATTCCACTGTATACACCTTTACCTTTACATTCATTTTACTGTTGACCAGCTTTGAGGTTGCTCTAAGAGTTTTGTTACTTTAAAGAATGCTGCTATAAGCATTATGAAATATATCTCATACACTTGGGCAAGAGTTATTTTGGGGTATATGCACATCTAGGAAGGTACTATCTGGGTCATATCAAGAACTAGACTGATATAAAAGTGAATGAAATAGTTAATAGATACCAGCACCAAGGAGACAGAGTGTTAGAATTATCTACCAAGATTTTTAGATGGACTATGAAATATGCTTCAAACAATTACAAATATGCTTGAAACATGAAAAATTGAGAGTTTCAACAAAGAAATGTAAAGTGCGGCAAAGAAATAAATGATATAAAGAAATGCCACTGGATGTTTCACAAATTAAAAATACAATGAAATGAAAAACTCAGTTGGTGAGTTCTACAGTAGAATAGAATGGACAAATAAAAATCAGTGAACTAGAAGACAGAAAAATAAAAAATTACCCAATCTGAACAGCAGGGGGAAAAATGGGCCATAAAAGATAACAGAGCTTCAGGAACCTATGGGACAATAACCAAAGATCTAACATTTTGTCATTGGAATCCCAGAAGAAAAGGAGAAAACTTCTCAAATTTAGCAAAAGACACAGACCCAGAGTTTCAAAAAACCTAAGAAATTCAAAACAAGATAAACCATAAAAATCCACACCAAAAGACATCATTGTTAAATTTCTGAAAACTAAAGAGAGAGAGAAATCTTGAAAGCAGTGATAAAGAAGAATGACACATTACCCATAGGACAATAATAATTTGAATGATAGTAGATTTCTCATTAGAAGCCATGGAGGTCAGAGAGAAGTGACATAAAACTTTCAAAGTGCTAAAAAAAAGAAACAAACAAACAACAACAAAAAAAAAACGACTGTTAACCCAGAAGCCTATATCCAGTAAAAATATCTTTCACAAAGAGAAAATGTTGCTTGTAGACCTACCATAAAAGAATGGATACAGGAAGTTCTCCAAAGAGATAGAAATCCATTTTAAAATGGAACATTAGCTCAGCTAGAGAGGCTCAGTTGGTTAAGGTTCATCCTGTGCACTCTGGTGCACCCTGTGTATACCTGGGTTGCGGGTCCTGTCCTGGGTACCTATGAGAGGCAACCAATCAATGTTTCTCTCTCTCTCCTTCTTTATTCCTCTCTTTCTAAAATCAATAAAAATATATTAAAAATAAAAATGAAACACCAGGAAAAAAAACAGTAAACAAAAATATGGGTATGCCAAAACCACTTTGGCTCAGTTGATGGAGAGTCAGCCTGTGGACTGAAAGGTCCCGGGTTCAATTCTGGTCAAGGGCATGTACATTGGTTGTGGACACATCCCCAGTAGGGGGTGTGCAGGAGGATGTTTCTCTCTCATTGATGTTTCTAGCTCTGTCCCTCTCCCTTCCTCTCTGTAAAAAAATCAATAAAATATATATTTTTAAAAAGAAAACATTCCTATATTGTCTCTGAATTATTGTTTTTTTCTGCATATAACTAAATTAAAAATGATTTTAAAAAAGATTCAATTCATTCTTGAAAGTTATCTTTTATCTTTCACTTTAAATAAATTTGAAGAATTTTTAAATGTTTGATGGAATGAAAGGAAAGCAAATATTTGGAGCATAAAAATGGAAATCAACTTGATTAGTTATGTAATAACTCTAAGCTAAATAAAATTATGTTTAACATATTTTACAATGTTTTATTGGTTAAAGTACTGTTCAATGCACTGGTAATAATTCAGCTGAATTAATCTTGAAACTTCTTGTCACTTCACATTAGCATATGTAAGCATAAAAAGCATGGAGTATGGTGCTTTTTTACATTGTTTGTCTTCCATCTTGTATCCAGAAGAGACCAAGTTTTGCCACCTAATTATTAAAAGTAAATGACTGGGAGGCTAAGAGTGGAGGGAAATGTATAAATGAAAAAGACAGCCTGTTGTGAAGCTGAATGATAGGTAGATGGAAGTTTATGATTGTTTACAGTTATTGGCTTACTTCATCAGTTTATTTTGTTATTCATATCCTCAGGGAAGTCTTTTTTCAGTAACATTTACCAAGTGAACCATGGATGCTGGCCACAGTGATCCTATTTTATCCTTCTAGGTAGAAACAGATGCTTTTCAATTACGAAGTTATTTAAACTGCACAGACTTTAGATTTTATTTAGCTTTATTTATTTTATCTAGAGGTGAAATATTTTGAAAAATATCCTCATTTTAAATCTCCCATCATTTTGGCTCTCACCTGAAGTGAATTTTGCTGGAACTCAATTGATTTCACCTCTCAATAAATATGAACTCAATCTGAAATGAATTATATTTGGTGTATTTGTGTTCTTATATGTGCACTGACCCATTTAATGCATTTTAGGCTATTTAGAGATACATTTCCCTGAAGTGGTCATATATGAATGGGTATTTTATTTGCCAGATGAATTATTATTATTGATTTCCATAGTTTCCACTCAAATGTTATTCACCTTTCACACTGTCCTAGTTGGCCTATAGTGAAAGAATCTAGTATCATTCTTGTTGTGGAAAGATGGTAGAAGTGCTTCTTGAATAATTGTTTCCTGCATTGCATTATATTCTTACAACAGGGTAATATATTTGGATCTTGATTAATTAATATAGGAGGAGACCTTGGTTTAAAAAGTTACAGTAAAATGAACAAGTCTAATAAAATCATGACCAAACCCTATCCACACAAAAATAAAGTGGAATTCTAAAATGCTTACTTGTGACAAATATCTGATGGCTCCTAGTTGCTCTTCGAAATAATTTAATTGATAAGGTATTTCCTTGGCCTCAGTTTTCTTCCCACTAGTCTGATTGTTCCCTTTACTGGACAGGTGTAACCACCAAACAAAGTCTGTTGTTTGTGCCACTTTGTAAGTCATGTAATTTACAGAAGTGATTGCTTATTTTACCATCAGTGTTGGTAACCAACTTTTCACTTTTGTGTGGCTTGCTGCTGTTTTTGTTGGGACAATTGCACAGTGTATTTCTTGTGTTCACAAATTACATTGCTCATCAGAGATGAAGTGCACTGCTAGAGAATAAAAGTGGATCACAGGAAATTTACATTACCGGCGGGAGTAATTTTCAATTAAACCTTAGTGTGCATGAAAATCACGTGAGAAAAACTGAAGTGCAGATTTCCATGAGTATCAGCAGAGAATTTGAGTCAAGATTCTGAGAGGAGCCCAGAATTAACTTGGGAGGGGAACTCTAAGATTTCCAGATAATTCTTTATGCAGGTGGTCCACACATTCCTGATTGAGAAACATCAACTTGAACTGAAAGTCTTTGTAATGCTCAAATTTTGGAAATTGTGTTGAGTGGCAAGCACTTCATGAAGTTATGAATTTGAACGCGTGGTGGCAGTACAGGCTAAGAGACTAAATCTAAGCTCTGCAGATCCGGTGGACGCCATTTCACGGAGAAACCCCAGAAAAAATACAGAACACATTTAAGCTAAAGCCCAAACAGATGTGTTCCGGAAGGCAGTCATCGCCAGAGAAGTTAAAAGAACGGATTTGAAACTCTCTGGCAAAGACATTTTGGAGGGTCTACGGTGGATGTGGAGATTGCGAGTGAAGAAGGATTTTCCCTCTGAAATCAGGCATAACAATAGAAATGGCGCAAACAAAAGCACATCTCAAGAAAAGGCAAGTGGTAACCTTCATTCTATTGATGCTTTTGTGGGAGGTGGGTTCAGAATCCATACAGTATTCTGTATTGGAGGAGACAGAGAGTGGTGCATTTGTGGCCAACTTGACAAAGGATCTGGGACTCAGGACAGGAGAGCTGGCTGCGCGGGGAGCACGGGTTGTTTTCAAGGGGAACAGACAGCATTTGCAGCTCGACCCGCAGACCTATGATTTACTGCTAAATGAAAAACTGGACCGGGAGGAGCTGTGCGGCGCCACTGAGCCGTGCTTGCTACCCTTCCAGGTGTTGCTGGAAAATCCCTTGCAGTTTTTCCAGGCTGCGTTGCAAGTGGGGGATATAAATGACCACGCCCCGGAGTTCGCGGCCAGAGATATGCTCCTAAAAATACCAGAAATCACTGCGCCAGGAAAGATGTTTCCTTTGAAAATGGCACAGGATTTAGACGTGGGTAGCAACAGCCTTCAGAGCTACACAATCAGCTCCAATTCTCACTTCCACGTTCTCACCCGCAATCGCAGCGACGGCAGGAAGTTCCCAGAGCTCGTGCTGGACAAAGCACTGGACCGTGAGCAGCAGCCTGAGCTCAGGCTGACCCTCACCGCGCTGGATGGAGGATCTCCGCCACGGTCAGGGACCATAGAGATTCACATCTGTGTCTTGGACAGCAATGACAACGCCCCAGAGTTTGCTCAGGAACTGTATGAGGCGCAAGTCCCTGAAAACAACCCCCTGGGCTCCCTGGTTATCGCCGTCTCAGCGAGAGATTTAGATGCAGGATCCTTTGGAGAGGTATCTTATGCCCTGCTTCAAACCGACGACGTTGACCAACCCTTCGATATAAACGCAATCACAGGCGAAATTCGACTGAGAAAGACATTGGATTTTGAGGAATTTCAATCTTATCACGTGGATGTGGAGGCCACAGATGGCGGGGGACTATCAGGAAAATGTTCCTTAGTCATCAAGGTTCTGGACGTGAATGACAATGCCCCTGAATTGGCCATATCGTCACTCAGTAGCCCCATCCCTGAAAACCTGCCAGAGATGATAGTGGCAGTTTTCAGTGTATCCGATGCAGATTCTGGACATAACCAACAGATTATTTGTTCCATAGATGATAATCTCCCCTTTCTTCTAAGACCGTCGGTGGAGAATTTCTACACCCTGGTCACAGAGAGACCGCTGGACAGAGAGAGCCAGGCCGAGTACAACATCACCATCACCGTCACCGACATGGGGACCCCCAGGCTGAAAACCCAGCACAACATCACCCTGCTGGTCTCCGACGTCAACGACAACGCCCCCGCCTTCACCCAGCCCTCCTACAGCCTGTCCCTCCGCGAGAACAACAGCCCCGCCCTGCACTTCGGCAGCGTCAGCGCCACAGACAGGGACGCGGGCGCCAACGCCCAGCTCACCTACTCGCTGCTGCCGCCCCGGGACCCGCGCCTGCCCCTGGCCTCGCTGGTGGCCATCAACGCCGATACCGGCCAGCTGTTCGCTCTGCGGGCGCTGGACTTCGAGGCGCTGCGTGCGTTCGAGTTCGGCGTGGGCGCCACGGACCGCGGGGCGCCCGCGCTGAGCAGCCAGGCGCTGGTGCGCGTGCAGGTGCTGGACGCCAACGACAACGCGCCCTCCGTGCTGTACCCGCCGCACAACGGCTCCGCGCCCTGCACCGAGCTGGTGCCCAGGGCGGCCGAGCCGGGCTACCTGGTGAGCAAGGTGGTGGCGGTGGACGCCGACTCGGGCCAGAACGCCTGGCTGTCGTTCCAGCTGCTCAGGGCCACGGAGCCCGGGCTGTTCGGCGTGTGGGCGCACAATGGCGAGGTGCGCACGGCGCGGCCGCTGGGCGAGCGCGACGCGGCCAGGCACAGGCTGGTGGTGCTGGTCAGGGACCATGGCGAGCCCGCGCTGTCCGCCAGCGTCACGCTGCACGTGCTGCTGGTGGACGGCTTCTCGCAGCCCTACCTGCCGCTGCCCGAGGCGGCGGCCGAGCAGGCGCGGGCGGATCCGCTGACCGTGTACCTGGTGGTGGCGCTGGCGGCGGTGTCGTCGCTGTTCCTGTTCTCGGTGCTGGCGTTGGTGGCGGTGCGGCTGTGCAGGCGGAGCAGGGCGGCCTGGGCGGGTGGCTGCTCGGTGCCTGAGGGCCACCTTCCTGGCCACCTGGTGGACGTGAGCGGTACTGGGACCCTGTCCCAGAGCTACCAGTATGAGGTGTGTCTGAGGGGAGGCTCAGGGGCCAGCGAGTTCAAGTTTCTGAAGCCGATTCTCTCCAATTTCCCTCCTGAAGAAACTTGGGAAGGAAATGAAGGAAAACCCTACTTTTCGGAATAGCTCTCCATTCAGTTAAGTATTGAATGATTCTGCTAACCCTACTTAATAAGTGTGAAAGTCTTTTACATGCTATTAATGGTCCCTTTATTGATTAATTTACTACTGTTCCTTAGGGTAAAATTAAAAGAAATTCAGATATTGCATATATACAGCATTTTCCTTATATCACGCTTAGTAGTTTAAAAATCATATTTAACTATATTTGACAATCTGAATAAAAAGTACATAAAAGTACATTTGTACTTGCATAATTTAAAAAATTTTGAAATTCAGTCATCTATCTCTTTTTACAGAAATTATATTCCAAGGTTCTTAAGTGTGATTCTATTTCTAACTGTTGGTGACAACTGTATCACTATTGCTATGTAGAGAAAAATTTTAATGTTTGTTATTATTTAATCTGCCAGTGTAAGTTTGATTTAGGGGTAACACCTACAGTGTGATAAAAGAAAGATATGCACTAAAGATCGCTAAATAATAAGATAGCCAGTCATATTTATGTATATTTCAATAACCATAATAGTCAATACATATTTTCTGTGAATATAGACTTTACAAAACTGCCATCACATTAAATTACAATTTGTCAGCTTTATGTAAGAATAGGGTGATCTTTTTAAAACATTGGATCAATAATAAATGCTTAACAAGTATTTTCTGAATGTCAACATTCCTACAGTGAATTTTAAAAATCATTTTCAAGGGATACAGAAATGCTAATATTCTTTCTGCACTACCCTTGCCAATAAGTGAAATTATTCAATATCACTCTTTTACTTTTTCTCTAATAGAAAACATCTTCCATTAATGCAAAACTATGATAGAACATAAAATGCTTGAGAGTACATTTTATCTACTTGTCTCTATCCAATTATTTGAAAGTTGTAAGGCATTATATTGTTTAGTAAAATCCAAATTGTATATTTCAAACTCCTCCTCCTAGTTTCTTAAACTTCTACATATGTGATACCTGCTAAGAAGTAAATAAGTTATTAATGCCAGTTTATTGGAGAATGTCCATTTTTCCCTTCCTGTTCTGCATATGCATTATTTATATTTATTAACCATAAAATCATTTACTTTTATAGTTTAACTATATTTGGTCTTATTTGTGTTGATTATATTTTATGAAAAATTCAAATTCCCATCAAAGTTAGGCAATTTATAATACACTAAAGTGACAAGTGAGTGAATATTTAAAAAATATATTTTATTGATTTCAGAGAGGAAGGGAAAGGGAGAAAGAGATAGAAACATCAGTGGTGAGAGAGAATCATTTGTCAGGTGTCTCCTGCATGTCCCACACTTGGGATCAAGCCTGAAACCCCGGGCATGTGCTCTGACAAGAATTGAATGATGACCCTGTGGCTCATAGTTCTACACCCTACCACTGAGCCACAGCAGCTGGGCAGAATATTTTATTTTTATCCTTAATTTAAATGGAAATGAGCTTAACTAAATTATGCGTGGCTGTGTTTTGTATCCAAATAAGTGAACTGCCATGGCTCTTATGTCAGGGATGATTACCAATTGGTTCAATGAGTGTAGGGAACACTTTCTGTTTTGTACTCCCATATATTTACTTTCTCCTTGGAATAGCACTCTTCCTTGGGAGAAACTGCTTCTTTTGACATTCTCACTCCAACTCCTATGGCTTTAGTTGATGCAGTGGTGTTTTTCAATAGCCCTATCTCTATTGTCCCAGGGACTCAAACCCCTTCCCTGGGAAGTATATCTTTGACTCCATTGACTTTATGCCTTCTTCATGTTCTTCCAAAGACATTGCCTGAATTCATAGCTTATATTGACTTCTAATAAAATTAATGGCCATTTTCTCTGAATGTTACTGGGCTGTGTGCACAATGAGTTTATAAAGGAAAAAAATTCTCAAAGGCAATGTGGCTTGACAATACATCATCCCTTCCCAACTCCTGGGAGATCCAGGTACATTTCCATTTGTTTGGGAGTAGAAGCCAGATTTAAAAATTCATAACTTCGAACACAATAGAACAAATTAGCATTTTCTTAATAGAATGTAAGCTCCTCAAGAGCAAGCATTTTTTCTTCTCCAGAAGCTGGAAAATTTTCTGCACAGTGAAATACTTACTGAATGATTAAATGAATTTGTCTTCAGCCGAGTTTTGAATCATGAAATTGGACCTTTATAAAGAAGGTGAATATAGATAAATAGGTGTTATTTGGCTCTCACAACTACTGCTAGCTACCTGAACAAGTCTGAATAATAGGTGAGGGGCAAAGGAGTACGCAAAAAGGCATTCAGCGCACTTTTGCTCTTACACTGTGCTTTGAAATGAAAACTACCTGAAGTTGTAAGACAGAACGCTGGGTGGCGCTGCAGGATAAGAGTGTAACTCCGCGATTCCAAGACTACGGAAAGCCGTAAAGCTGTCTGCGACAGCTCGCAAAGGAAGCATTTTACACCACCCGGGAACAGGGGTTTCAGAGAGGCGGCTGTCCCCATCCCCACGTCAGTCAATGCTAGGAACTGACTCAAGATTATTGAACTAAGATAGCAGAGTTGGCTGCCACGCAATCATTTTGGGATTTAATACTGGATCTTTTGGACCAGGAGGAAGGATGGAGAGACAGCTACCAGAAGCGCCCTGGAAAAGGCAAGTGACCGCCGTTATTATTCTGTTGCTATTGTGGGAGGCGGGCGGTGCGACCGTTAACTATTCCGTTCTAGAAGAGAGGGAGAGCGGCTCCTTTGTGGCCAACCTCGCGGAAGACCTGGGTCTGGGCTTAGGGGAGCTGGCCGCGCGTGGCGCCCGGATTCTATCTAAAGGGAACAGACAGCATTTGCAGCTCCAGCAGAAGAGTGGCTATTTGCTCCTCAAAGAAAAACTGGACCGGGAGGAGGTGTGCGGTGACACGGATCCATGTATCCTGCATTTCCAGGTGCTACTGAAAAACCCGCTGCAGTTCATACAAGGGGAACTGCAGCTCCGAGATGTAAATGACCACGCCCCAGAATTCCTGGAGCAGGAAATCCTCTTGAAAATCCCAGAAAGCAGCCATCCTGGGACTGTAATTACTTTGAAGACAGCTCAGGATTTAGACGTGGGCAGCAACGCAGTTCAGAACTACACAATTAGCACCGACCCTCATTTCCACCTTGTCACTCGCAGTCACGGCGATGGCAGGAAGTACCCCGAGCTGGTGCTGGACAAGGCACTGGACCGTGAAGAGCAGGCAGAGCTCAGGTTAACTCTCACGGCGCTGGATGGCGGGTCGCCGCCCAGAACAGGGACTTCCCAGGTTGTCATTGCGGTCCTGGACATAAATGACAACGCCCCCGAGTTTGCTCAGCTGTCCTATGAGGTGCAGGTCTCAGAGAACAGCCCTGTAGGCTCTGTCGTCGTCACTGTCTCCGCTAGAGATTTAGACGCTGGGACCCACGGCGAGCTCTCCTACTCGTTTTTCCAAGCCTCGAGTCAAGCCGTTCAGGTGTTTGAAATAAACGCAGTCACGGGGGAACTTCGGTTAAAAAGAAGGTTGGACTTTGAGGAAATTCAGTCGTACCGGATGGAAATTGAGGCCTCAGATGGTGGAGGTCTTTCTGGAAAATGCACCGTAGCCATAGAAGTGACGGATGTCAATGACAACGCTCCGGAACTGACCATGTCCCTGCTCCTTAACGATATTCCAGAAAACACACCCGACACGGTGGTAGCTGTTTTTGGAATTTCAGATCCAGACTCTGGAGACAATGGCAAAATGACTTGTTTCATCCAAGACCATCTCCCCTTCCTGCTGAAGTTTACTGTAGAAAATTTCTACACCCTGGTCACAGAGGGACCGCTGGACAGAGAGAGCCAGGCCGAGTACAACATCACCATCACCGTCACCGACATGGGGACCCCCAGGCTGAAAACCCAGCACAACATCACCCTGCTGGTCTCCGACGTCAACGACAACGCCCCCGCCTTCACCCAGTCCTCCTACAGCCTGTCCCTCCGCGAGAACAACAGCCCCGCCCTGCACTTCGGCAGCGTCAGCGCCACAGACAGGGACGCGGGCGCCAACGCCCAGCTCACCTACTCGCTGCTGCCGCCCCGGGACCCGCGCCTGCCCCTGGCCTCGCTGGTGGCCATCAACGCCGACACCGGCCAGCTGTTCGCGCTGCGGGCGCTGGACTTCGAGGCGCTGCGTGCGTTCGAGTTCGGCGTGGGCGCCACGGACCGCGGGGCGCCCGCGCTGAGCAGCCAGGCGCTGGTGCGCGTGCAGGTGCTGGACGCCAACGACAACGCGCCCTCCGTGCTGTACCCGCCGCACAACGGCTCCGCGCCCTGCACCGAGCTGGTGCCCAGGGCGGCCGAGCCGGGCTACCTGGTGAGCAAGGTGGTGGCGGTGGACGCCGACTCGGGCCAGAACGCCTGGCTGTCGTTCCAGCTGCTCAGGGCCACGGAGCCCGGGCTGTTCGGCGTGTGGGCGCACAATGGCGAGGTGCGCACGGCGCGGCCGCTGGGCGAGCGCGACGCGGCCAGGCACAGGCTGGTGGTGCTGGTCAGGGACCATGGCGAGCCCGCGCTGTCCGCCAGCGTCACGCTGCACGTGCTGCTGGTGGACGGCTTCTCGCAGCCCTACCTGCCGCTGCCCGAGGCGGCGGCCGAGCAGGCGCGGGCGGATCCGCTGACCGTGTACCTGGTGGTGGCGCTGGCGGCGGTGTCGTCGCTGTTCCTGTTCTCGGTGCTGGCGTTGGTGGCGGTGCGGCTGTGCAGGCGGAGCAGGGCGGCCTGGGCGGGTGGCTGCTCGGTGCCTGAGGGCCACCTTCCTGGCCACCTGGTGGACGTGAGCGGTATTGGGACCCTGTCCCAGAGCTACCAGTATGAGGTGTGTCTGTCAGGGGGCTCTGGATCAAATGAATTCAAATTCTTGAAGCCGATTATCCCTAACCTCCTACCCCAAGGCACTAATGAAGAAATAGAGGCAAATGTCACCTTCCAGAACAACTTTGGATTCAATTAGGAATCTATCTTTTTTAAGATATTTAGTTCCTCCAGGTACAGAGTTTGAGACCGTCATGGACAAAAATCCCAACTTTAGGAATAGCCTGGGTTTGCCTTTTGGATTTCAGGGGCATGGGGACCAGTATGAAGTATGTCTGAACGGAAATTGGAAGCTTAGGAGCCATAGACATCACCTTCTTCAGACCAACTGTCCTCAAGTTTATGGGTGAAGAGGCTGGTAGGGACACCGAGGAAAACTCTAACTTTAGAAATAATTTTGAGTTCAATCAGGAATCTCATCTTGACAAGACCTGATAAATGGTAATATGCATTCAGGTATTTCCCAATTCTTGCACTCACAGAAAGGCTTACATATTCACACATTCATAATAATTTCCCTATTTTTAGTGATTGCAACCTGTTGGAGTGTTTCACATTCTGAATCTCTAGGTGTTTTTGTTGTTTTGTCAGGTTTCCCCCTCACACTTTGCATGTTCCTACAATAGCAGAGCAGTGGCATTTCTCAGCATTTCCGGGTAAGATCTTTGGAAGTTACAAATGTTTGTTTTTTTAGCTTGTTCATTGATATATTGTTATGCTTAAGAGAATTGTGTTTAATGATTATCATCAGCATGAGTCTAACTATTGTAAATAATGGTGTTCAGTTTTAAAAATAATTTTCATTTATGCAAAAATTACTGTGACCTCGTGAATTATTTGATTCCTGTAATGTTGTTTCAAAAACACTGCTGTAGTTTTTCAAATGAACTAACATTTTAGCTGGATGTTTTCTAAGTTGGATAATTTCTTTCAAAATTGATAGTATTTAGTTAGACCACCTGCTATATTTTAAAGGATTCAATTCCTGTTAAATAGAAAAAAGCAGAAAAATATTGGTAGACTTATGATTACCTTTTTATAATAAATGATTTTGAGTATGTAAATGATTCTCAGACTTTTAATATACAGTCACATGATTCAAATATATTCAATAAGAAGAAAGCAAATTAACATAATTATTGCAGGACTCAGAAGTAGTTATTAAGTTAACATCATTCTAAAAGATTTCTATGATTCAATATGTGTTAATAGATGGAAATAATGTTGTAAACTGGACCTATAAGCATGGCTTGCTTTATAATGAAAACTACCAGATTTTATTTGCATATAATAAGATTGTAAAACTCATTATTATGAAACTATAGACTTGCTTGAGCTTAATTAATCCCTATAAAGTTTAAATCAATATTATTATATTAACATAAGTTAACTACTTGTTTTAAAATGAGCAAGTCAAACCTTACACTTTTACCCTCTTCTCCTCACCTTACTTTATGCTTTTATTACATATATGCATATCACATATATAACGTATATTAAAAGGATAATTCTCATAATTGTTAAGAGATTTTATGCTTTAGACATTTAATTTGTTATATGGTGCTACAAAATTTTCAATATTATTCAAGTCTGTACAGATGTAACAACTTTTGAAGCATGTTACTGTGTTTTTATGATATTTACTTCCATATTTCTAAATAATATGCTTATAAAATGCTTTCATTCAAATTTAGTTTTGAATATTATCCATTTACTTTTCTTTAGGGTCATGTGCACACACACACATACTGCACATTTTTTTTCTACCCCTTCCTCTCTCATAGCAACATTATATAAAATTCTGTTTTAATAGTGTTCATATAATTAGAATTATGGAAATATCACTTACAATTGAACCTCATGATGTACTGAGATTTTGTTTCTTTTCTTTATCTCAAGTAAACAATTGCCTCATTTTCACTTTACTTTTCTATGTACAGATTTTTAACTTATTCCTATACTTTCTAAAGTCTAAAACTCCTAATTGTGTTTATTAAACTCACCAAGAAATCTCTCAGTTGCATTATTTTTTCTTGGAGCCATCCTGGAGCTATTCAAACTCCTGCTCAGTTGTATTTTATGTGCTCTGTAGACCTGTTGTATAGCTTGCAGTTTGGAACTCACTTTATCCACCATTCTGGGAATTTCTTTTGTCTCTCTCCTGAATTTAATTTCATTTCCTGGACTTTATGTCTTCCTTCTTTTTGGTTTACTGCCTTGAATTCTGAGGAATATTTGGTAATACATTTATTAAGTTTTTAATCATGTGAAAATTTCAGATGTTAGAAAATAATTTTTTTGTTTGTTTGGTATTGAATTTTAAGTTAGAAATTATTTGCTGCTAATATTTTGAAGGCATTTCTTGACTTGTTTCCCTGCTGTTTACTTTTCTCCCATTTGTTTTGTCTTTATAGGTCCATTTTATTTATTTATTTATTTATTTATTTATTTATTTATTTATTTATTTTAAATCAATCTTTATTGTTCATATTATTATAAAAGTTCCTCATTTTTTTCCTCCCTCCACCAGGGTCCCACCCCATAGGTCCATTTATTTTAAATATTTGCTCTCTATTGCTTAGATTAGGTTTTAGGGGGGAATTGAGATAAATTGGTGTGCTCAAATAGGAATGAAATGCAGCTTTCTCAGACCTCAGTCATTTCTATTTTTTCATCCTTTGGCTTGCTGTATTTCATCAGATGTAGTTCTTTAAAGGAGAAAGAGAGAGAGAGAGAGAGAGAGAGAGAGAGAGAGAGAGAGAGAGAGAGAGAAGAAGAAGAAGAAGAAGAAGAAGAAGAAGAAGAAGAAGAAGAAGAAGGAGGAGGAGGAGGAGGAGGAGGAGGAGGAGGAGGAGGAGGAGGAGGAGGAGAGGAGAAGGAGGAAGAGAAGGAGGAGGAGGAGGAGGAGGAGGAAGAAGACTGGTTTCCTTCCATACATTCCCCTATCAGAGGATAGAACCCAGAGCAACCTGGATATGTGCCAGGACCCAGAATCAAACCCGCCGCCTTTTGGTGTATGGGACATGCTCCAACAAACTGAGTCACACCAGCAGGGTTAAAGCTATAGATCTTAAATTCTCACATACTTGTGAAGTACAAGTTTTCTGGGCATAAAATTTTCAGTCAACTTTCTTTTCCTCATAGATTTGTTGATATCAAATATTACATTAGTCATTTCATCATAGTTTCTCTATATTTTTCTGTAAGTAGGCTACATTTCATTCTTAAGTAGTTGTTTTCAATAAGCTCTTATGAATGCTAATGATTTTCCCCACATTTGCTGCACTGTTTTCTTTATATTTGACCAACATCTTGGCTGGGTATAAAATTATTGAGCCATAATTTTTTCCCCTTAGAACCTGATAGAGCTTTCCATTGTATTCTAGTATTAAATGTTGACAAGGATTAAGTTTGAAACCTATTTTCATTATCTATGGGTTACTTATTTTCTATTTTTAAACTTCATTGTCTTTCTCAGGTAGTGTCTTGATTTTGATAATTTTGAATCACTTTTTTCCTGGAACTCAGTGTACCCTTTCAATCTGTTTCACATACAGGTATTTTCAAGTATGTCATTTATTTATTTATATCTAGTATGTATAACTGGTTTCTAAATACTTTCAATATGTGAAGTTTGTGTGGGTCCATTTTTGCTGCATCGTTTCTGATTCTTCTTATTCTTGTTGTCTTTATTTCTTTTGTGACTTTTATGGTTGATTACCCTTAAATATTTATTTGTAGGGTCTCCTCAAATCCTAGATTGTATGGCCCAGATTTTCAATAGTTTCATCCAGAATTCTAGAAACACTATCTGTAGGGGATCACCACAAACAAAATTTATGGTTTGAAGTTCCTTGAAACTCAATTTATGAATATTCAAAATACAAACACACATGATGACCAAACCTAGACACAATTTCCCAGGCATGGTTTCTTTTCTTTTTCTTCCACTCTATTTAACACCAGAGACCCTTCTATATAATTCCCTGGAGTTGGAGGGAGGAGTCAGGTTTAGATTTGTTGGTGTCATACTGGTTTTATATTGTTGAGGTAGTTTTTTTGGGCCCTTTAAAATGGGGAGGGTCTTCCCATAATATGCTGCACCTTTGGTTGGCCTTGAGTCTTGAATTATATTTCTTTAATCCCAAATAGCTTCAGGTCAAAGCTTGAGGGCAAATATTTTCAAAAGCTCTGTGGGCTTATAATAAGGTTTTTTTTTGTGTTTGTTTGTTTGTTTTGTTTTTTATTTATTTTTTTTTTTTAAATATATTTTTATTGATTTTGTACAGAGAGGAAGGGAGAGGGATAGAGAGTTAGAAACATCGATGAGAGAGAGTCATCGATCAGCTGCCTCTTGCACACCCCTTACTGGGGATGTGCCCGCAACCGAGGTACATGCCCTTGACCGGAATCGAACCCGGGACCCTTCAGTCCCCAAGCCGACGCTCTATCCATTGAGCCAAACCGGTCTCGGCTTGTTTTGTTTTTTAAAAATATATATTTTATTGATTTTTACACAGAGAGGAATTGAGAGGGATAAATGGTTAGAAACTTCGATGAGAGAGATACATCGACCAGCTGCCTCTTGCACACCCCCCACTGGGGATGTGCCTGCAACCAAAGTACATGCCCTTGACCGGAATCGAACCCAGGACCCTTCAGTCCGCAGACCGATGCTCTATCCACTGAGCCAAACCAGTTTCAGCTAATAAGTTTTGTTATCCCAACATGCTGTTTACCCCATATTACAGGCTTTCATAAAAAATTGGGCACCCTCACCAAGTGGTTCAGTTGGTTAGAGAATCATCTCATACACCAAAAAGGTTGTGGGTTTGATTCATGGCACATACCTAGAATAATTCTGGTGATCCACGTGAGGGACAGGGCACAAATGGGAGTTTTGCACCTCTCTCTCTCTCTCTCTCTCTCTCTCTCTCTCTCTCTCTCTCTTTCTCTCTCTCTTCCTCTCTCTCTAAGATCAACAAACATATCCTTGGGCAAGGATTTTTTTTTTTAAGTTTTAAAAGGAATTAGGAATAGATACAGATACTATATATGTTTGGGAAGCATCATTGGTTCAAAGGGTCTTGTCCCAGCAAATAAATTTATTACTTTATTGATTTGAGGGCTAAGCTTTCAGTAAAAAAGAACTCTTTTGGCTACAAAACACACCACCAATATAAATAAGTAAAATCATATGCTCTGCTAATAACCAATTAAATCAATTTATTTTACCCTATCTGTTTCTAATGGCAATGGGGGCTACAGGTGTGATCTGAGTGGTTATGATATATACCACCAATTTTACTCAAAGTTATGTCTCCTCCTCTTATTTATTACTAATATACCTCCAATGTTTTAGCTGCCTATGTGGTTATGCATGTTATAAATTATATTTCCTAACTACTGTTGTGACTGGGAGTGGTCTTGTAGCTAAGTTACAACCAGAGAAAGATACTGAGCCCTAGTGCCATGGAATACTTCATGAAAGTAGTCTTTAAAAAGGCAGGTGCAGTCTTTTCTTTCTCCTGTTTGTTAGTCTGAATAGAAATGTAATTGCTGGGTATTAGACAGCTATCTTGGAATATGAGGTGAAGGCCATGTCCCAAAGATGGTAAAGCAACAAGATGGATCAAGACTGGGTCCCAGATATCATGGAGCGCAATCTAGCCACCAGTTTTCTTTTATGAGAGAAAGATAAAATTCTATTTTGTGTAAGCTATTGTTGTTATGGACTTGTCTATAGCTTCAGGCTGAAATTATATAGAACACATTTATATATAGAAATTATATAGAATCTAATTCTAGCTGGTACAGTAAACTTTTAATATTAAGCAAATAACTAAAGAATGAATAGATAAATTGTGAGTCTTACATGCATATTTTAAAAATCAAGGTTTATTGAAAACAGGCAAAGCAAACAACTAAAGATTTAAGAATAAACTACCTGCTATTATAACAGGTGAGAAGAGAAGTTATTGCATCTAAGAAATAAGTACAGAAAGAGGGCCCTTGGAAAGTATGAATGTAATAAATGGAAGTTTTAATAGAAGGGCTTGAAGACAGAATTAAGAAAATATCCCAGGTAATATTGCAAAAGTATTTAAAAATATCAAACAGGAGAGAGAGAAAAAAAAATTAGAGATCATAGCAGAGGTCCAACATCTGAATTGTAGTCATTAAAAAAAGAAAGAGCAGAAGAATTCCAATGAAGTAATTCAAGAAAATGTCTAAGAGCTGAAGGAAATTAGTTTCCTAGTTGAAAGAGTTTACCAATTTTCCTGTACAATAGATGAAAATAAGCTCAAACCAAGACACTTCAGTGTTAAATTTAAAATGTTTTGGACAATGACAACATACTACAACAAGAAATAAAAATACAGGACACATATAGAAGATATAAAATACCATTCACTTTTGATTTCTTACCAACACATTGATTTAAAGGGCTCATTGCCAAAATATTTTTAAATTATGAAAATTATTTCTAACCTCAAACTCTATAATCAGTCAAACTTCCAATCAAGTTTGAGGGTAAAGTTAAAATAATTTAATACACTCAAGGTCACAAAATAATTTAACTCTCATCTACCATTCCCTGGAAACTACTGGAAGATATTAAAATGAAGATGACAGTTGTGTATCAAATATAGATTAGTCCAGGTTGGAGCTGTATGAAATAGGCATTTTGAAGGATATCATCATCAAGTCCCCTGGCACATATTAATTGGATGAAACTATTGAATGATGTGATGTATTAAAGCTATCAAATAAACAAACAAACAAAAAAAGAAGAAATAAAATCCTAGAAAAAGGCAATCCAACCAGAATAAAAGGCAAAGAAAAATTTCAAGAATGATAACAAAGGAAAATCCCAAAGTTATAGTTGTGCATCCGATGTAAATACCACCCACCCAATTTACGGGAAAATCAATATATTGGAAGATATTGGAATGACCATGTGCAAAATTGCACTGAGAAGCAGTTAGAAGTGTGGGAAGAATGCATTATATATAAAGAAAGCCAAGTAAATGAAAAAGCAAAGCAGTTTATAACCTCAAGAAAAAAGTGAGAAAAAAATATAATGAAGACACAGCAATGCTCTTATTATATTGAGAGTGAAAGAAGACATTAAAGTTTCTTGAAAGTGTAGAAGAGCTAAAACAGAAACCAACATAATAGATAATGTCTAAAGTGAATTAATAAAAATATAGCAGAATACAGATTTGTAGGACAAGAAATATAGCAGAATACAGATTAGTAGGACAAGAAATAATTAAAAGAGTTAAAATTGGCTGCCTATTGGAAACAGAACTAGGAAAGTGAAGAGGAAAGGGGTAGAAAACTATTGGATTTTATTATATGCCTCTTAGTACTATTAGATTTTGGATCCAAGGTTATGTAGTATTTTGAAGTGAGTTTTAAAGGATAAAGATATCTTATTTAGATATCTTGCAACTCTTCCTATAAATAAAAAGGATATAAAATACTAAACATTACTAATAAGAATAGGGATATATCTAAAGGTAAATAATATAATGAAGCATAATAAAGTTAAGTGGTTTTTAAATGAATGGTTTTTAAAATAAGATACAAATTACTTTTGAAGAAAATAAAGTATAGAGTAATAACCAAAGTAAAATGTAAGAGTCAGTTTGAACTACCAAACCCAGACCATTTATTTATTTATGTATTTATTTATTAAATATATTTTATTGATTTTGTACAGAAAGGAAGGTAGAGAGAGAGAGTTAGAAACATCAATGAGAGAATCATGAGAGAGAATCATTGATCAGCTGCCTCTTGCACACCCCCTACTGGGGATATGCCCGCAACCAAGGTACATGCTCTTGACCGGAATCGAACCTAGAACCTTTCAGTCCCCAAGCCTACGCTCTATCCATTGAGCCAAACCGGTTTTGGCCAAACCCAGACCATTTAAAGGGCAAGTTGTAATTAAGCATGTAGTAACAGATGGTATGAATATAAAAATCTGTTGCAAAAAAAAAATGGAGGGAAATCTTCCATACCCATTCTATGAGGCTGGATATTTTAACACCAAAACCACAGATGTTAAACACACACTCATGCATACACATAACAACAAGGGCCAGAAAAATCCTGAAACATTGTTGACACATCAAATTCATCTTTGCACTAAAGCAATAATACATCATGGATAATTGTCTTTATTTCAAGAACTTGATAATTAAAAAGCTAAAGAATAAAGGTACAATTTCAACACATGTCAAAAATTATTTTAAAATATGAAAGAATAAAGAAAAAGAAGAAAATTTTCTTGATAGAAAAAGAAGCATTTACCCCAGGTAGAGATCAACCATCATAGCTAAAGTTGAAATAATAGGAGCACTTTCACAAAAGTAAGAATGAACTACTTGCTATTGTTATTATAACTTGAAGAGTATTCATTGCATACTATTGGAGATGCTGGCTATTGAAATTATATGTGAACAATAATTTAAATTATATCATTACAGTGGATGAAGGGTGAATGTTGGGGTACAGAATGTGTTCCAGAAAATATCCTGGGTAAAAGAGTGAAGACCTTGAAACCAAAAAAATTATTGAATTCACACACACACACACACACACACACACTAAAACAGAACAAAACAAAACAAACAAAACTGGGAAAAAGGCCTATTACTCTGCAGCATGAACAGCATCATCATTAAGCAGTTAACAAATATTAATTTTTTGATGAATTCTTCATCTTTGTATATAATCTTTACTATCAGTTTTAAAAGCAGGAGGTTTTTTTCCTTTTTTTTTAAAGATCTACTCCTGATGAGAATTTAAAGTTTAATTTCATGCCCCCCGATTAAGGAAAACAACATTTTTTCCCCTATGAATTCAGATAATGAGAGGACGATTTAGCACTTACTAGCATTATCATGACCGTTTGAGGAAAAAGATGGAACGAAACAGCAAAAACCCTGGGGAACATACTCCTGCTGGTCTTTTAATCCGCCATCTTTTTGTTCTGTTCTTGAAAACGGGAATAACGTCCACAAAACGCAAGGTGGCGCTGCAGGCTAAAGAGAGACAGAGGGAAAAATACTCGCAATCAGGATATTGCAGATTCCATTGTTAATAGAAAATCTGGCCAGTCAGAGAGGTAGAGGAAAGGACACCGTGGTAACAGGAGTTGGGGGAAGTAGGGATCCCTCCCCACAAGCATTGCTTTGAGAAGCTCATTTCTAAGGATTCCGTCGCTGCCAATTGTGAGAGCTGCGCGGGGCTGAGGGACAGTGGCTCTGAAAGACTGATTAAAAGAAGAATGGCGGCCAGACTGGAGCGTGCGGTGCAGAAAAGGCAAGTCCTACTTCTTTGTGTGTTTCTGGGAGTGTCTTGGGCTGGTGCTGAGCCGCTCCGGTATTTTGTGGCGGAGGAAACCGAGAGAGGCACCTTTCTGGCCAACCTAGCAAACGACCTGGGGCTGGGGGTGGGGGAACTTTCAGCTCGGGGATCTAGGATCATTTCAGATCAGAATATGCAATTTTTACTACTCAACCCGCTTACTGGTGATTTACTTCTAAATGAAAAATTAGACCGAGAGGAACTGTGCGGCTCCACGGAGCCCTGCGCGCTTCCTTTCCAGCTGTTACTGGAAAAGCCTTTGCAGATTTTCCGTGCTGAGCTTTGGGTCAGAGACATCAACGACCACTCTCCAGTGTTTCTAGGTAGAGAGATTCCTTTGAAAATATCAGAGCTCACCACTCCAGGGGCGGCATTTCTCCTAGAAAGGGCGCAGGATTCAGATGTTGGAACCAACAACTTGAGAAACTACACCATCAGCGCCAATGCCTATTTCCATGTCAATGTGCATGATAATGGGGAGGGGACTATCTATCCGGAACTAGTACTGGACCGAGTGCTAGATCGAGAGGAGGTGCCTGAGCTCCGTTTAACCCTCACCGCCTGGGATGGCGGCTCTCCGCCCAGATCCGGGACCGCCCTAGTACGCATCCAGGTTGTGGACATAAATGACAACGTCCCTGAGTTTGCACAGTCTCTCTACAAGGTGCAGGTGCCAGAGAACAGCCCTGTTGGCTCCCTGGTTGTCTCCGTATCAGCTAGAGATTTAGACGCCGGAAGTAATGGGGAAATAGTCTATGCATTTTTTTATGCCACTGAAAGAATTCTCAAAACGTTTCAAATCAATTCAACATCTGGCAATATTCATCTGAAAGCCGAATTAAACTATGAAGAAATGCAAACCTACACACTAACTATCCAGGCCACGGATGGTGGAGGGCTTTCTGGGAAATGTACCGTGGTGGTCCACGTAACCGATGTCAATGATAACCCCCCGGAACTACTCATGTCATCACTTACAAGCTCGGTTGCAGAAAACTCAGCCGAGACTATTGTGGCTGTTTTTAGGATTAGAGACAAAGATTCAGGTAACAATGCAAAGATGGTGTGCTCCATCCAAGATGATTTGCCCTTCGTCCTGAAGCCATCAGTAGAAAATTTCTACACCCTGGTAACTGAGAGACCGCTGGACAGAGAGACTCAGCCCGAATACAACATCACCATCACCGTCACTGACATGGGGACCCCCAGGCTGAAAACCAAGCACAATATCACCCTGCTGGTGTCCGACGTCAACGACAACGCCCCCGCCTTCACCCAGCCCTCCTACAGTCTGTCCCTCCGCGAGAACAACAGCCCCGCCCTGCACATCGGCAGCGTCAGCGCCACAGACAGGGACGCGGGCGCCAACGCCCAGCTCACCTACTCGCTGCTGCCGCCCCGGGACCCGCGCCTGCCCCTGGCCTCGCTGGTGGCCATCAACGCCGACACCGGCCAGCTGTTCGCGCTGCGGGCGCTGGACTTCGAGGCGCTGCGTGCGTTCGAGTTCGGCGTGGGCGCCACGGACCGCGGGGCGCCCGCGCTGAGCAGCCAGGCGCTGGTGCGCGTGCAGGTGCTGGACGCCAACGACAACGCGCCCTCCGTGCTGTACCCGCCGCACAACGGCTCCGCGCCCTGCACCGAGCTGGTGCCCAGGGCGGCCGAGCCGGGCTACCTGGTGAGCAAAGTGGTGGCGGTGGACGCCGACTCGGGCCAGAACGCCTGGCTGTCGTTCCAGCTGCTCAGGGCCACGGAGCCCGGGCTGTTCGGCGTGTGGGCGCACAATGGCGAGGTGCGCACGGCGCGGCCGCTGGGCGAGCGCGACGCGGCCAGGCACAGGCTGGTGGTGCTGGTCAGGGACCATGGCGAGCCCGCGCTGTCCGCCAGCGTCACGCTGCACGTGCTGCTGGTGGACGGCTTCTCGCAGCCCTACCTGCCGCTGCCCGAGGCGGCGGCCGAGCAGGCGCGGGCGGATCCGCTGACCGTGTACCTGGTGGTGGCGCTGGCGGCGGTGTCGTCGCTGTTCCTGTTCTCGGTGCTGGCGTTGGTGGCGGTGCGGCTGTGCAGGCGGAGCAGGGCGGCCTGGGCGGGTGGCTGCTCGGTGCCTGAGGGCCACCTTCCTGGCCACCTGGTGGACGTGAGCGGTACTGGGACCCTGTCCCAGAGCTACCAGTATGAGGTGTGTCTGAGGGGAGGCTCAGGGACCTCTAGCGAGTTTAAGTTCCTGAAGCCCATTATTACCAATCTGCAGTCCCAGAGCACAGGGTGCGATGTGGAAGAATATCCTGCCTTTCGAAATGATTTGGGTTTCTGATAAAGAATGGAGAATGAATGCGAGTGTTGAGTCTGTGAATACATTCCTAAGAAATGTATCATGTGTTACCTTTGGAAGAGTGCTTTCACAATATTCTAAGCATTTTTAAAACCACAGAATAAGTCTCGTTACACAGAAAAGGATCCAACGTTAGCCCTAAGAACCCCCCCACAAAGCATGGAATTGATGTGTCTATTTGATCTCTACCAGTTACGTACGCATTGTGTGTAATCTATTAAGTAATGATAAGTGTTGTTTGGGATGCTGTAAATTAATTTCATTGTCTTCAAACTTTATTGCTTTTTTATTTTCTGAGTTGATTTCAGAGCTGTAGATATATACTTTCCTCAAGTTTTAGAAGCACAGATTGTACTTTTGAAGTTTTTAAGAAAGTACTTAGTATACATAAAACACTTTTAATCTTAGAAGTAAACTTATGAGGAGAGGTATTTTTGAAATGGGCAAGTAGATACTCATAGAAATTCAATGAATTCAGTAAGATCACCAATTAATAAATGGCAGAATTGAGTATCTTTCCTAAGTCTTTCTGCCACTGGGACCTTGCTATGATGCTATACTCTTTTCTGACATTAGTTATCACATTGCAAGTTTCTCCATAATTAAGGAGAAGGAATACTTTCTTACTCGTATTCCTGTTCAGTCTTTTCTATAATTAGAATTAATAGTGCATATATTGGCTTGTGGTTTTATTTTCTTACAAACTAATAATCCAGCTTTACCAAATTATTTAATTATTATTATTAAACCATTGATCTAACCAAATCTCAAGTAAAAAAAAAAATGGAAAATCACTTTTTGCCTTTTTTCTTGTTATCCCAATATATGACCTTCATTTCACAGATTAATGACTCTGAGTGGAAATATTACATAATTTTGATTTCTTCAATAGTTTATTAATTTTCTCACATTGTAGTAATATTTATACAGTGGCCTTTTCCTACCTTTTAAAACCCATTTTTGTCCTTTAATTAGAAAGTTTATTTTTTAAGCCTCTTATTCAATATATTAGAGGCCTCTTGCAGAAAGATTTTTTTGCAATAGGGCTTCCTGCTGCAATCTCCACTGCCCTGTCTGTTTCCCTTCCTCCTCTGCCCCCGGCTTGCTTGCTTCTCAGTAGCTCCGCTCCCTTCTGCAGCCCTTGGCTTCTTTCTATGCTGTCTTCAGTCTTCGCTCTGGCCTGGATATGCAAATTAACCGCCATCTTGGTTGGGTTAATTTGCATACTCACCCTGATTTGCTGGTGGGCCTGGTTTGTGGGTTTGGCGAAGGTATGGTCATTTTGTATGTTTCTCTTTTATTAGAGAGGTTTTTGTTAGAGAGGCTTACAGTGCTGAATTCGGAAAGTATATGAAAAAGATTCAAATCAGTGCCGCTAACTCTTAAAATAGTACTCTTACTATATATTACTAATGGGATATAGTCTAAGGACAAAAAATGTTCACAGCATTCAAATTCTAAATTGTTTTCATAGTGTCAAGATGAAATTATTCAGTTTTTTTTCTTCTAACAAATCAATGATATGGAAAGGGGGAGGAAGGAATTTTCAACAATGAAATAAATGTAATGTGTGGTGAATATTGTTTGGCTTTTGATTCAAGGAACTGTGTATGAATTGTCAAAAATGTGAATATAGATGCATATTAAATAATATTAACCTAATTTCTTAGGCATGATATAGCATTATAGTTGTATATGATGAAGTATTTGTGGGAGAGAATGTAGTTTGGGATGTGAGAATGTTAGGGAAATAAATAATTATGACAAAATATTTGTAATTGTTGAAGCTAATTATGAGTATGTGGAGGTCCCTCATTAATATGGTTTCCTTCCTTATGGTTTTGAAGTTTTTCAAAATAAAGGTTATTTTTTTTTAAAAAATTGGCACCGTAAGAAGAAAAGTGGAGTTTACAAAAATAGGACATTTTTCTGAATACAGAATCACCGCTGTTCTCACAGATCATATCTCTATCAGACAAACTCTGCAGCCTTTCATTGTGTCATCATTTAACATAATAACTTCTATCTGAGCTCATTCTGCTCAAGCATTCTTCTGCCACTTGAATATGGGGTGTTTTTCTAGTCATGGCAATGGACTCATGTAACCTCAGCTACCTGGTGGCATCAAATTACATGCCTGGTTTGTGTGTGTGTGTGTGTGTGTGTGTGTGTGTGTGTGTGTGTGTGTGTGTGTGTAGTTTTGTCTCTACCTCATTTTCTCATCTGTGTGGGGAGAACTCACAGCAACCCTAAATAATAGGTAATATTATATTATAATTTCCACCTACAGATGAGAAAACTAAGGTAGAAATTAAATAATTTGTCCAAGATTCATAGTCCCATAGTCCCTGGCAAAAAAAAAAAGTATTCTGAAAGTTTTCTATGTTACCCCAATTATATATTTAAAGAATTTTCCTGCATATATTCTTGTCAGCCAGACTGATATAAAGCAATTTTCTTTTTGCTCCAAACTCAACATTATTAAAGGTAAAAAGTCTCTACTGATGTCATTTCCCTTGTATGGTCCTCAGACTATTGTCTGCACCGTAAGGTCCAGCTATAGTAGAGTTAGTGTTGTAACTTGTACAATACAGGCAAGAGTTAGAAATACTGTAGCGCACACCATTTTCATCCCAGAAAATGTAATATCCTGTGAGGACGCGTGGTGGCGCTGCAGGATAAGAAGGTACAAACCGGAACTGCAGCTGCGGCTTCATTAACGGACAAAACTTCACTAGCAGAGCCTGGAAGCTCACTGGGAAGCCAGGGCGCCACAGAAGAAGGGCTGGGTCCTCTAAAAAGGACGGCTCACTGGACTGTTTCCGAGGCGTCCTGTACAATGTCCAGCCTCAGATACTGAGTTCTTCGCAGCTCCGCGGAGCTAGCCTCGCCAGAGCCTGTCCCAAGCAAGAACAATGGAGGCCGGCAGGAAGCTCATTGGCAGACAAAGGCAAGTCCTTTCCCTTTTTCTCTTCTTGGGCTTATCGCAGGCGCAGGCAGGCACGGAACCTAGGCGCTATTCTGTAGTGGAGGAGACTGAGGGGGGCTCTTTTGTAACCAATTTAGCAAAGGATCTGGGTCTGGGGCAGAGGGAACTCTCCCGGCGGGGGGCTAGGGTCATTTCCAAAGGGAACAAACTGCATCTGCAGCTGGATCAGGCCACCGGGGATTTGTTGGTAAATGAGAAGCTGGACCGCGAGGAGCTGTGCGGTCACACAGAGCCCTGTGTGCTGCGTTTCCAGGTGTTGCTAGCGAATCCCTTAGAGTTTTTTCAAGCTGAGCTGCAAGTGATAGACACGAATGACCACGCTCCGGTGTTTGTGGAAAGAGATATGGTCCTTAAAATATCAGAGAGCAGTGCTCCTGGAACTGCGTTTCCTCTGAAGAACGCTCAGGATGAAGATGTAGGCCGAAATAACATTGAGAACTATGTAATCAATCCCAACTCCTATTTCCGGGTCCTCACCCGAGAACGAAGCGATGGAAAGAAATATCCAGAGCTGGTGCTGGACAAAGCTTTGGATCGAGAGGAGGAACCTGAGCTCAGGTTAACCCTCACAGCGCTGGATGGTGGCTCTCCACCGCTGTCTGGCACCGCTCAGGTCTACATTGAAGTCGTGGACATCAATGATAACGCCCCTGAATTTGAGCAGTCTTTCTATAGGGTACAGATCCCTGAGGACAGCCCCATAGGTTTCCTGATTGTCAAGGTCTCTGCTACAGATGTAGACATAGGAGTCAATGGAGAGATTTCCTATTCACTTTTCCAAGCTCCAGAAGAGATTAGGAAAACCTTTGAGCTCAACTCCCTGACGGGAGATATTCGACTGAAAAGGCAACTTGATTTTGAAGCAGTTCAGTCCTATGAGGTCATTATTGAGGCTAAAGATGCCGGAAGCTTGTCTGGAAAATGCACCGTTCTGACTCAAGTCCTGGATGCGAACGACAATGCCCCAGAAATCACCATGTCCGCACTTACCAGGCAGATCCCTGAGAATTCGCCTGAGACGGTGGTTGCCCTTTTCAGTGTTTCTGATCTTGATTCGGAAGAAAACGGGAAAGTAAGTTGCTCCATTCAGGACAATCTACCCTTTCTCCTAAAATCTTCCTCGGAAAACTTTTACACCCTGGTCACAGAGGGACCGCTGGACAGAGAGAGCCAGGCCGAGTACAACATCACCATCACCGTCACCGACATGGGGACCCCCAGGCTGAAAACCCAGCACAACATCACCCTGCTGGTCTCCGACGTCAACGACAACGCCCCCGCCTTCACCCAGCCCTCCTACAGCCTGTCCCTCCGCGAGAACAACAGCCCCGCCCTGCACATCGGCAGCGTCAGCGCCACAGACAGGGACGCGGGCGCCAACGCCCAGCTCACCTACTCGCTGCTGCCGCCCCGGGACCCGCGCCTGCCCCTGGCCTCGCTGGTGGCCATCAACGCCGACACCGGCCAGCTGTTCGCGCTGCGGGCGCTGGACTTCGAGGCGCTGCGGGCGTTCGAGTTCGGCGTGGGCGCCACGGACCGCGGGGCGCCCGCGCTGAGCAGCCAGGCGCTGGTGCGCGTGCAGGTGCTGGACGCCAACGACAACGCGCCCTCCGTGCTGTACCCGCCGCACAACGGCTCCGCGCCCTGCACCGAGCTGGTGCCCAGGGCGGCCGAGCCGGGCTACCTGGTGAGCAAGGTGGTGGCGGTGGACGCCGACTCGGGCCAGAACGCCTGGCTGTCGTTCCAGCTGCTCAGGGCCACGGAGCCCGGGCTGTTCGGCGTGTGGGCGCACAATGGCGAGGTGCGCACGGCGCGGCCGCTGGGCGAGCGCGACGCGGCCAGGCACAGGCTGGTGGTGCTGGTCAGGGACCATGGCGAGCCCGCGCTGTCCGCCAGCGTCACGCTGCACGTGCTGCTGGTGGACGGCTTCTCGCAGCCCTACCTGCCGCTGCCCGAGGCGGCGGCCGAGCAGGCGCGGGCGGATCCGCTGACC